CTGGTAGTTCCTTGATCTCCTACACTATCATAATTCTATCGAAGCGTCGTATAAGAAAAAACAGTTAGGGGGTATCGGGAATAGATATCGATAGAGAAATCAGCCTTTGACTCTAGTGAAAGCCTGAGCTTTCCAGAAGTCCTTACAAATGTGCCAAGTTGACTCGTGGTATGTCCAAGTGTTGAGAGATCTGCACGATGCTGCAAGAATCCAACAATAGCTATGATCGTTCAAGTACAGAACCAGCGGTCTGAACCTATCCACCTGCATCGAGGTGTGAGACAAGGAGACGTTTTATCACCCAAATTGTTCTCTACTGCTTTGAAGGATATGTTCAAGATGCTGCGTTGGAAAGGGAAGGGCCTTTATGTTAAAAAACCTAAAACCATCCAGGACTAACAATAAATACTGAACAGTATAGCTGATTGTTCTATTACCTCCAATAGCTCACCAACAGTTCAAATCAGTATAATTTATTCATGCCATCTCGTTCTAGCCATGAGAGGTATGGCTATCGCCAAAAGCTACAGCTGACCATTTTAGAGGCGATTTTTGTTTTCATTTCTCTTCTACTGAGCGAGAAGTGATCCCGCCCTTTTTGTTAAAGTTGACCAATCACGTATTGCTCAGCAAAAATGAAGTACTTGTCATTTAAGGTTGACACTATCCCGTTTTCCACTCTCCCGTCATCGTCCTAACACAAATTCCTCTTCTGGTATATTAATTCACAAAAGAAATATAAAAATAAAACATCAAATCGTGAACATTCATTTATTGCTTTGTGAGTATGAAACCTCAAACTTACAAAAAAATAAGCAATATTTTGTACTAATGTACCACTCCACATGACTGTACAAACTACGATATATACGAATACATTCTCTTTATATACAATATTAGGACAAAACATACAATAAACTCATTAAACAATCCTGTTTGGTAATAACTGATAGAAAAAACTTTTTTACATTTGCAACATCGCAAACATGTGTCACTATGGCAGTGATATGTATCACTAAAGAGGTTTTAATAACTTTTTATATAGAATTACATTTTCATTATAATTTTGTTATTTTACATAATTGAAAGCGGCTGGGAAGCCTACCCTGTTTGCAGCCAATTTATGTAAAGAAGAATAGCCAGGAAGGTAACAAAATCAAATTTTGATTTAAAAAGTCTATAAGAAACTAGAATAATGTGGAATGTAGCATAAGCCATACTTAGAACAGAATGTAGAATATAAAACAAACTAAATATTCAATTATGAATTTTAAATGAATGTCACTAGAGTTTAGTTTAAGGTTCAAATTCTGCTAATAACTACTAGATTGCTATGAAAATGCCAATCAAAGTACACGAAATGTAGCTTTAAGTAAATCGTAAATTGTTATTTGGCACCATGGTTGGATATTTTCATTTAATTACTCTATAAAAACGCGAATTAATTTACCTATCTAGTTAAATGTAGCCAATTTCCTTAAATATCAAACTTGTGCGATTTGGAGGAGAATGGGTCTAAAGTAATAAATTAATTTCATCCTGTGCTTGGAATAAAACTTTGGTTGGTTGTCTGTCCAATGACATAGTTGACAGTTCAAGACAGTGTTGCTACATAAATTAAACTTTCAAATGAACAGATACTAGTACATTATTAATCTGTATTTGTCAAAAAGTCCTTAACGAATTTCAGACTTATAATATGAACAGAAAAATGTAACCTTTTGGCAGATTGAATATGTGTCGATAAACAGATTCTGTTAAAAAACATTGGTTGACATTTAAATACAAAGATAGGTACAAATATAACATGCAGTGAAACACACAAACCGACATCTAAATATTTGTGAATCTACTTGATAAATTAACACCAAAATCAAATATATATACACAAATAGCAGAATTTGAGACCTAGGTACACCTAATTCAAAAATCTACAAAGAGATGAGACAATAGTTAGATTTGCACACTTCTATTTTAATTCATAAAATTACCCATTTTATTTTAATGGTTTTATGAAATGCTAATTATTTTTTGCGTCTGTACAGATGGCGCCTTTGTCTACTTAAAGCTTCTAATATAATTTTTGCCTTCTATACGCCATTTATTGGACAGAAAGATTTATAATTAGCATTCCATAAACACAACTCTATAATTTAAAATTCAAAACATTAATATCAAACTTTAATTTTTCAAACGTCTACGTAAAGGAATGCGACCACTGAAACCTTACACAATGAATTCATTCCTATTATAATTAAAAAAAAACCTTACTTTTAATACTGGACATCATTTATCTACTTATCATTATAATTATATTTTTATACACGAGATACAAAAATGTCTTTCATCCGTATTATCTTAATATTAGTTTATCTAAAGGTTGGGAGAATAGATTAGAACTTACAATAATGACGTTTACCATTTTCGCGATCCCTAGATGGCGCTAGTGCGTCATATAGTCCTGTTAACACAATGAAGATCCATAGATACATGCGATCACATTAGCGCCTTAATCTATCACCAAAAACGTCGAACGTACTAAGACAATGAAATTCAACCCCGCTCGCGTAAATACAAAGCGAAAACCATTAATAATATTGTAGCGAAATAAATTAATAAAACGTAAAACAATATTAATAATATCTACCTTGGACTAGGTAATAATAAAACATACTTTAAAAATTAACGGGAGACAAAAAATTAAATTAGGAACAGCACCAAATGATATATTTTTGGAATCGATAATAATCACATGCAAAATTATAATAAAATATACATTTTGGTATTTCTTTTGCTGTTGTTAACCTTTCAGTTTTAAAACGAAGTGAGATTGTCTTTTGGAAACACGATAAAAGTTATAACCAATCAAAATCGATATGACAACAAAATATCTTTAATTTATAAACATACTAAAATCACTCTGGTAATTTAATTGTCTTACTAAGATTGTCTATGAAAACAAATGCTTGTTGCTAAATCTTGTCTATTCAAGATGGCCGACTTTCGGTTATATTTAAATGTTATTTAATCCAACAATATTTTGTATTGGGCATATAGCCTCGATATTTTGAGCACCTAAACTAGTCACTCACGCTGGTTTTACATCTAAATATTAAATATTGTATTAGCTATACAAAGTGTAACAGTATAAACACTCTTCAATATAGGTTTAAACCATTGAGTCAGGTTTTGTATTTTGAACCTTATTCTCACCTACCTTCAATTTGAAATACAAAAACTGGCTCAATGATTTAGAACTACACTAAAGAAATTACCTTGTTTTGTATTACGGCTTAGCATGTGCTAGTTCGGGTCAGAAAATATAACAACGTTAATTTTAGGAAGAAAAATAATGTCAATATGTTCTTAATTTTATTGTGTTACGCTTGTATTATGAATTTGATTGAAGATAAAGGAGTATGGAAGGGGCTTAATGTTTAGTATTTTTGTTATGTATGTGTAGGGTACAGTAATTATAAAACATATTTTTTTAAGAAAAAATAACCATTCGAACATAGCACCGCTCTTTTCGATACCTTTAAAAAGGTACCTATGCCTCTGTTTCTGTATTGGTTTTCGTATATACTGCAAGCGTGAATAATATATAAATAAATAAATGAAATATAGCCATTTTTACTTTCGAGAAATTAACGCCAATAATTACGATAATTATATTTTCTTCAAATAAAAGTGTTTCATAGGTTGAGCTATGAAATGCAAGGTTTAAGTTTATTCTGTTACATTATGTATATATTCATTATATACTCTACTTATGTACAATTGTCGTAAAGGCAAGAGCTATTGGTCGGGCGATAGCTGTTTATTATTTACTTATAATTTATATATAAGTGTATATGTCTTTATTTTATACCGAGGCGTACCAAGAAACTATTGAATTGAGAAGAGAGAGAGAGGCTGATGACAAATTTTATTTCTAGATTTAAAACCTGTTTTACAATGTCGACGAATATAGATCATATTTTGAAAAACGGCTTTTTGTACCCGCTAGATGGCGTTGTTATTAACCGTCATAATATATGTTAAATGTTAAAATGTTGTTAGGCAATGGTATCACCGATTTTACTAAAAGAAACTTAGTCAAACATTATTTTTCTAAAACTTTCTAAACCTGTAGCAATTTCTGCAAAGCTAGTATCAAATATAGATATAGTGAAACATGCCTACAGACTGAGTCCAAATCCAAGTCTACACTTTGGAACAAGCAAATAGCTTCACTAGAAGACAGTCTGAGACGCATAAAGTTGAACCTTTTGTTTGACGTTCAATAGTGCCTGTTGTGATCTATTTGAATCAAATGATTTCACTTGACTTGACAAGGGACATGAATAATATGGTCTTGGATCCAACTGTGAAATAAATCAGAAAATAAAAAAATCGATTTGCTCAGTATTTAATCAGACATTGTGAAAGCAAGGCTTTAGTTCATGGAAAATGTTTTAAAAGTCATTTAGACTCACTATTTACCCTCCCTCCTCTTCCACCTAAGAGCACCCTCATAAAATCTACAATTCTGCCTGACCGTATATTATACCGAACAAGATAAAACTGCCAATAGTTAAAGTAACCATGTCTAAGTTCCGCCATTTCATACAAATATTCAAACGTCATATTAATTTACTTTTTCAAAATATTGTTTACTAGCCATTCTCACGCGGCACCCCTTGATAGTAGCGTGATGTTTTATAACTTAAACCACGCGGAAATATTTTAGCTATATATCAGAAAAAAAAATAGAAAACCGACCAGCGGTTCCATAGATTACCCCCTACATCCATACTTACCAATTGCAAATTTTACTTCTTTATATTACTAATGTATAGTATTGAGGAAACTCATTGAATGAACATATTGTTTAACCAATTTACATTTTTATAGCGTACAGATAAGAACGATTTTACATGAAAATCAATAAGAGATTTGCTAGCGATTTTTGGGTAGCCACTTTACGCAATTTGATCCTTAGTTAAGTATTAATACGTAAGGAAATCAATTAACCCGTTGATTGTCGTGTATGTAAGACAAAATTGAAAAAACATTGTTTAACGTGTATCTAAAATTCAATACAACGTTTGAATATTCGTACATGATGACAACAGAAGTTCAATTTATATAGGAGAGAGAGAGAAAGAGAGAACACTATATATACGCACCTTATAAATAATTCTATATAACAATATATTAGCTAGTTATTGCGCAAACACCTACCGTTTATAATCAATGGCGACCTTTGGTGACGCTTCAATCAGAAAATTATTTAAAAAAAAGTATTTTTTTATGTTCTAATCAAATTCTGAAATTCTAATCTCCATTTTTGGGAGAAAATGAACGAATTTTGCGGAAATATGTCCAGCCGTTTTCGAGTTGCGAATCCTCAAACACGAATTGTGCTTTATTCTTTTACAGTATGTGTAATTAATACGATATTTTTGCATATATCCCTAATACTAGGGATGTCATAATTTAGCATCATAACTCAAGAACGGATAGACTATTTCGATGCAATCTTTTATGGAAAATAGATATTTATTATTCGTTAATACGACTTTAGCATTAAGGTTATATAGGGTTAGTTAATTTGACCAATATTTTTATTGTAATAATTATAATGCTTAATTTAATTTTTATATTTACTTTAATAAAATATAGTTCGCCATTGGAACGGTAGGTGGCAGTGTGTCACATGTGTCACGTGACCGCGCGAGTCTCTACTACCTGCGCCGGCGCATGCGATCCGACGGCCGCCGACGCGCTGTGGGAGAAATAAAAATCATTATTTTTCATATAAAAGTGAAATAACAAAAGAAAATTATTAAAAATATAAGATAAGAAAAAGATAGGTTCACTCTAAGATCTTTTGCTTACAAAAGACGTCTGAGACAGTCTATTTCTAAAATTATAATGTCTGGCAAAATTATAATGTCAACAATTCAAATAAATGTATTGCTCAGAACTACTAATTTAATATTATAATTTCTATTGCCCACGTTTTATGGAGGAGATCAGCCCAATTTTTATTATTATAAAAAAGTAGTGCTGATTTCATGTATAAATATTTTAATGTTCCATTCAAGGGTACAAACCGATTTTTTTTTATAAAAATATATTTGTGATAAACATACCGATAGCACAGAGCGCGTCGCCCGGCGTCCGCATTCCCTATTCCCGTTTCTTTCCCTTCTTCTTTCCAACTCGCTTGCTATAGTTCTGCGCAAGCGCATTTACTATAGAAACTACAAAGTATACGACCATTGCCAACACAAACTTCTCTAGTAGACTCGATAGAACTGAGCCCTGGTTCTCTATGGGCGCTGCGGAGTCGTTTTTGTGTAGTCTTGCCTTTTGGTTGCGAAGGAATTCCAATAATGGAGCTTCGAGTTTAGGCCCTACATATGGTATCCTTTCTACCCAGGAAAGGACTTGCCTGGAATTAAAAGAGGTTGATTATTAATATGCATTACTTTGAATGTAAGTGTTTGTTGTTCTGAGACGTATTAATAATAATAATAAAGTTGTAGTGTCATTTGAAATAGCATTTTTAGCAATCTCACTAGACTTTGCAACGTGCAACGTGTCTCGGGTTCGATTTCCGCACGGAACAACTCTTTGTGTGATCCACGAAGTGTTGTTTCGGGTCTGGGTGTGATGTGTATGTCAAATTATGTGTTTGTAAACGCACCCACGACACAGGAGAAAATCATAGTGTGTGGCAACGTTTTTTTTTTAAAAAAAAAAAAAAAACTTTTTCACTAGAAAAGGTAATGTTCATTAAGTTTTGACACTTAAAAAAGTAATCTCTTCTTAAGCTCCTCAAAAGAAATGGTGATCGTGAAACACCTTACATCTGCTTACATCCTCATTTTTATGCTTTCAGAATGATACGATTAAAAATCTAAGATTTTGTGCTTGACTTCCATCTTGTCTGATATGGTAAGCAGTGATGCAATCGTTGATGGTAAAGGCGCACTAGTTTATTAAGAGCCTATTCACTCTAGCCTTGAAGACACCTAAGTCATAACTGGATGGGAAGACTGTTGCAGGAAAGCTATTCCAATCCTTCCTAGCTAGTTGTGCTATGAATTTCCTAAATATAATTATAAATTATTAATTAACGCAAGGTATAAATATCTTACCCGACCAAAGTTTCATTAAAAGCGATGATAACAAACATCTTTTGTATATGCATCTTGATGACCGCTTTACCCAAAACCGTGGCCCCAAAGAATGTCCAGAATGGAACTAAAAAGTGTCCACACGTTAGCCCAGCAAGGTCGAATAATGGGTTGGGCACGGATGCACAAGCCAGGATACCAGCGAAACCAACTTTCTGGACTAGTTTCTGCAACATTATTTTTGCCCTGGAATAAAAAAATATTAATTTAAGACCGGCTGACTTGGCAACCCCTTCATTATCATGCATGAGGGCGCGGATTAAAAAAGTACCAATGTGACTTTTTCTAAGATATATGTACTTTTTATGATCATTTATTTAGTACCACTGACATAATTGGAATTTCGATCGAAATCGATGAAAGAACACCTGAAGGTACAGCCTATGGCAAAAAACCTCACTGTGAAAAAAACATGTTTATAAAAACAACCGTTCTTTATAGAATCAGGGGCAAATGAGTAGACTAATCCTCATGGTCGGCGAGTGCGGCCGACGTATCTTGGCGAGTCTGAAGTTAGCCGTTTGTCTGAGCAATGGATCTTTTAGGAACAAAATTGTGTACTGCGCAGCTAATCGGCTAACTTCAGACTCGCCGAGATACGTTGGCGGTATTGCACTCGCAACACAAAAAAAATAATCAAAGCGTTGACTTGTTTGTTGTCCAAAGCCCATATTAAACCATTCTTCCTTGAAATGTTATGGTAAAATTAATGTGAATCTATACTAATATTATAAAGTATGTAAGTGTGGGAGAGCCATGTTTCGGCACAAATGGGTCGGCTCGACCGGAGTGATACCACGGCCTCACAGAAAACCGGCGTGAAACAACCACAGCGTTGTGTTTCGCCGTGTGAGTGAGGTTACCGGAGGCCCAATCCTTCCCCTCCCCCAATCCCTCCTCAATCCCTAAATCTCCAAATCCCTAATCCCTAAAAGATCGGCAACGCACACGTAACTCCTTCGTTGCGGGTGTCCAAGGGCGGCGCTGATTGCTTACCATCAGGTAATCCGTCTGCTCGTTTGCCGACCAATTACATAAAAAAAGCTGTTTGTTTGAACAAGCTAATCTCCGGAACTACTGGTTCGGATTGAACAATTCTTTTTTTTGGCTTTAAAACATCACGCTACGATCTGTAGCAGCGGGTGAAACCGCACTGCATTAGCAAGTAATGAATATTTATTAATTCCTCACCTCCCAGTCCTCGAATCATCATTAGCAGCCAGCTCGGCGACGCCCCCGCCGGAGAGGCGCGCGGCCCGAGCCATGAAGTATGGCGGTAACTCCCCCAGGGCCGTGCCTATTCCCCACATCATCGACTCGATGCGAACCTTCGACATGATGTTCCATATCGACACCGTGTTGTTAGGGTCGATCTGTGCTGGACATATTATGCTGGAAATGAGAAAATTGTATGTATTAATGACTAATTTCACCACAACACAGGCCACAACAAGGACGAAAGGGTGGCTAGAACCTTTATTTTTCTTAACCGGACAATAAAAAACACAAAAAAAAGACAAAAATTGGTTCAGACGTTGTTGTGTAGGACACAGATAAAATACAAGCAAACTACAAATAATAAGGATTGACAGTCTTGGTTTGACATTCCCAATATTAAACAGAATTAAAACATTTCACGATTCAACTTTAGATACATATGTTGTTTAACGGCTGACTCGCGTATTTTAGCGGGATAACTCGACTAGTTTCGAGCCACGCTAGGGGCTCATATTCATAATGAAACTATTCGAGTTATCTAATTAAATAATTACGTGAGTAGGTACACCTTTAAACATAATTATGAAATAAATATGTCTCACGAAAATAATAATAAAAATGGGGGAAAAATACTTACTCATTAGGATAAGGAGGTTCAGGGAAGTTGAGGGCTCCACACTCATACGCAGCTAGCGTGACCCTCGCGATGTGAGGTCCCAGGTACAGGAGGAACGTGTGCAGACCCGTGCCCAGACCTACTGAGCTACACACTCCTAGCACGACCCACCAACCCCACCACGCTAGGGTTGCTATTACCACCTGAATTAGAAAAAAAAAACATTTTTAAGAAGTTCTTATAGCCAAAATAGTTTTTTAACTATATTTGTGTCGTTGATCATAAGCTAAGTTATTATTGAGTCAGTTTATACTATTATTGTGGTTTTTTTATTGCTTTGGGTCACGTGGTTTCGAAGACCCAAAACCTCTACTAATTATGAGGGTCACGGACATTACGGATGTTTTATGATTACATTACATATAAAATAAATGTACTGTAAATTAAAAAAAAAAATTATTTCAGACCCCTAATAGTCCATAGATTGTTAGTGTATTAGTAACAAAAAGGTCTTATGTACTATATTAGTATAGTTAGTAACCTATAGCTAATTCTACCCAGTGTCTCTGTATCGGTCAATCCGGCTTATCAGCAATCATTTTCAATGCGTAAAAAAATGGCAGATTTTTAAAATATAAAACTAAATAAGCTTCATTAATTAGAAATTATCTCCACGCCTGATATTTAGAGAAATTAAAATAAACAATAAATGACTTTACCTGTACATAGGGCTGGTGTGGGCCGCTAACATAATAAGAAACAACGGTTCCTAATATTGCTACAAATATCGTCAGTGCCAACAGTCTGTATGCTAATAGCCTGTAACAATACAAATTAAAGGATTAGAACAAAGATATCAATATATTTTAGGGTTGATATTTCAATTTCAATAGTCAGATAAATGTTATCTGAGAAAAAAAAAACCTGTCACTGTCTTATACAAACATTCTGACGCGACAGCATCATAATTATTTCCCAGATAACTTTTATCTAACCATTGAAAAATCTGCTCTAAATGAAACAAGCATAATAGTTAATTTAGTATAACTAATTGTAGTGTAGTACTTTCTATAATTACTTAGACACCACTGACAAGTAGTAACGGTAAACATCGTGAGGAAACCTGGACTTATAACTTCTAATTATAAGTTTGATATTGCCAACCCGCCTTAATGCAAACATTATCGGTGTGAGAAGAAGCCTTTGCTCAGAAGTGGGCTTATAGGCTGATGATGATGATGATGAATAGTGAATTTCCCATGGCAAAGATTGTGAAGTAGAAATGTAAATAGTAATAGGGTCTCGGAGAACACAACTACAAAAATTGAGCTGGGTGTTTGGTTAAACTATTATCGTTCAAAAACTAAAAAGAAACAGTGTACCTATGTACTGGAAGTACCAATGTTGCTGTCAACCACTTTAGGGCTGATTTTTAAATAGTCAGACAAATGTTATCTGAGGAATAAAATTGTTGCTGTCACTGTCTTATACATTCTGACGCGACAGCCCTAGAAAAAATAATTATCAGCCAATTCTGAGCTAAGGTTTCTTCTCACATGGAGAAGGTTTGAGCATTAATCACCACGTAAAAATGTGTTGCAAAGTATTTAACCATACCTTTGTAGTCCTGTAGAGATCAAAATGAATAGTTCCTTGAAGAAATATTCCAGTGTGGTAAGAGGCCGCCTCCATAGCACTAGACTATCACTGTCCATTGTCGGGTTTTTATTTCTACTGTAACAAGGGAGAAACATACATTACTTATACATTTATTGTCAAAAAAGTTTCAAGCTTGGGTCAAGCTTAGGCACGAATGGGTCGGCTCGACCCGAGTGATAGGTACCACGGCCTCACAGAAAACCGGCGTTTAACAACCACAGCGTTGTGTTTCGCCGTGTGAGTGATTGGAGGCCCAATCCCTCCCCCTTCTCGTCCCTTCTCAAACCATAAATATCCGAGATCCTTATATGGGATGGGATAAAGTCGTAATTTATGTCAAGGTTATTTTTTTGTAATATGAGGCAGGAACACATCGAAGGTCGGAGACCAAAGTCATTGATGATGTCACAAACATAGTGCGAGTAATATGTGCGTGACGATTAAGAAAAAAAAACTGTTCCTGCCAGGCATGATCACCTCGCATGGTCGAAAGATCTTCCCCTTTTCGATCCTTTTACATTTTACTTAGTGTATACTCCCTAAAAGTATAGAAATAAAAAGCACCAAAACGAAGGTAACAGCCTAAATAATGATTGTTTTTTTTTTCGCTATATAACTATCAAAACCGCCATATTCAATCTCCTTTCTCCAAACTCATGGAGAAAGCCAAAAAGAAAAAATCAACAAATGAAGATGGCCTATCCGTGGTTAGCCATTGCTAATCTCAAAATGTTTACTTTCACTATTATAATCACAAGTAATTGGTAACTAGGTTGTGTCGGTAGCTTCGTACACCGTGTTAAGAATAAGAAAATGGAAATCTTTGCTAGGTACTAACTTTGGCTGGATTTTAATACGTATTTGAATTAATCTTACTCGAGGACTGTTTTTAGTAAGATGAAAATAGTCCATTGACTTCTCCCGCCAGGGCCGGGCGGGAGGGAGTGTCTGACTTTTACTAACTAAAAACCTCCCGTTCCTTCTCCTGCTCTGGGCCGAGGCTGCGGTGCCTCATTGCGCTTGCCCCGCAACCTTGATTGAACATCAGCCCAATAGGGCCTGCTATGCAATGCATAGATAGATTATCCATTATCCCATCAACAACCCCTCAGGGTCCAAGACTGGACCCTGGGCCACACCTACGTATGTGAGATTTGCATTAAACCACGCAATGTAAAAGTGCCGTGTAAGATTCCAGAGCAGAAGTTGGAATGCAATGGTTTTTAAACAGTCATCTGAGAAGCTGCTTCACGCCATAAAAGCCGCAGACAGAATCAATTGAAGAAATTGAAGATTTAACCTCACAAAAACAAAAAAAGTTTAGCAGAGAGCGCTTATATTTGATCCTTGACAAAATAATTAAATTCTGTGCCTTATGACCAAACTACGCAAACGTATTAGCAAGGTACAGCTAGTAAACAAATTTAAGTCTTAACAATTAGTTGGAAAATAACAGAGCAGGAACAATATTAATGAGAGAGCGATAAATATGGCGGACTTCGCTTGGAGCATTTAAACTGTTCACAATTGAAATAGGTCGAGAGTCAGACAGTACCTCAGATAATGTAATTAATGCCAACTTTAATTACATATGTTCATAAAAACTACAAATTAACGATTGTTGAAGACTTGTTCAGGTGGTGACGTTTCGTCAGTTTGTATGCGATACTTCCATAACTGGGGGTACGGCAGTGCCCCAGCCAAGTCACGAGAGAAACGGGCACGGCCATTCTTTTCAACATCATCCTTTTCTCGAAGCGTTTTCCGGCTATTTCACGCCATTGTATCATCAATAGGGAGAAAGGTAGATTTTGATGACCAAGAGTAAATTATTGAGCTTGCACTCCAGCTAAGGTTAGTTAGATGGAGGCAAGAGGATCATTTAGGATACTCTTTCACGTGGACTTATCCGCGAGTCTAGGTAAGTGGTCTGTAAAATCCGCCCACACGTGTTGATCAACTCCATTTTATTTGTGTATTTGTGTTATCGCATTACAAAAAATACTAATTAAACAGAGTACAATAAAAAGTAGTATTTGATGCATTCAATTACAGGTAGTGGTTTCTATAAATAGTAGTTCTCTGTCGTAATTTATATTCTGTCATATCTAGAGGTACTCTAATAAATAAAATTAACATAGAATGCGACATAATACGATGATCGAGTGAATAAAATTGGTAGACTCCAAAGATCTGGAGATATCAAAATTCGTTTAGAGGTGTCGGATTGCAATAAAAAGCCAAAACATATAATTGGAAATCGATTTTTCAAAGGTTCACGATCAGAGGTTTCACCGCCACCATTTGATGGTCACCAAACGACGCCGCCCATGGACACCCGCAACATTCAGGAGTTCCTCGTGCCGTGCTCTTTGCCGGCCTTTTAGGTATTTGAGGAGGGAGATTTAAGGATGGAAGAGAGTGGAAGATTTTGGGTCTCCGGTAACCTCACCCAACTCACACGGCGAAACATAACATGAACTCTGTTTTTCGCCGGTTTCTATTCTGCTAGGACGTGTGTGAGCCGTTCCATCCGTGCCGAAGCACTACTCTTCCACGATTATCACGTCTCCATTTTAATTTTCTTGCAAATATATTTAAATATTTTATTGCTTTATACAATAAAGACGGATTCGTCTGAATGTTTTATGCAAAACCAGAAAATGTAACGTAACAACATAGCGTGGTATTTTAACATTATTTAAAAGGGCTCATTTTAATTATCAGTTTGTAAAAAGCACACTTAGTAGTTGTCAACATGCCTATTGGAAACGACAGCTATGAGCAGTGGACCATGAACAGTGGACCTGCGAATTTAGGTCACCGGGACCGGATATAGGTCATTTCACGATTTTGTTTCCAACTCACTACGATTAGGCGTCTAAAGAATTTTTGTCCATGTCATAGCAAACGAGCACACGTATTTCCTGATAGTAAGCAACGCTAGAGGAGTTACGAGTGCATTGCCGACATTTTGGGGATAAGATTTGATCTCCGAAACCCTTATCCCATATTGAGGACGTATTGAGGACGAAATGAGGGATTGGAAGGATAACTCCACTTATACGGCAAAAAACAACGCTGTGGTTGTTTCAGTGATTGACGTTCTGTGAGTCGGTATTCTGGGGTATGCCTTAATTAAAAAATGGATAAGTTTTTCAACACAAGTGCGTTGCGAAAAAAGCTCATCATTTCTATTTAGATATATTTTTAATTGACAAAAAGATATGCATATGAATGCTATTAAAAATGCCAAGTCATTTAAGTGTTTAAGAAATTAGTCTTCAAAGGTCTCTCTAGTTTCACAGCGGTAATTATAGTAGTAAACAACCAAATTAAAACTCCCGTCAAGACTAACGGACAAACCTAACAATTGCTAGACATAGAATTTCGATGAAAGCTTCGTGTAGAAGCCCTTCTTATCAGTAGTAAGCAAATATTTGCTGATAGCAAAGAATGTACAGAAAGAAGACCTACCTGATCTCCTTAGGATGTGGATGGTGAAGTCCGTTGCGCGGGCGCTGCTCCGTATCGGCTTGCACTGCGGCCGCCAGCTTGTAGTACCCGAGACGGGCAAGCTGAAGAACAATAGTAACAATTAACAACCAATTTGACCAAGTAAACAGTTCTTTGTTGAATAAAAAAGAATATTTGCTTTGAGGACAAGGCTGGTTTTAAATACTGGCTGGTCAATTTTGAATATAGAACGTAATGGACTATCTCGTTCATAATGAGAACGGTATATGTATAATATAACTGACTCGGATGAGTTTCAAAAGACAAAACGTGAGTTAGAAAGCTACCCTTATCTGTTTTATTTGTGGACTTTCAACTGTCTTACTTTGGCAATAGAACTGAAAATCTTTTAGAACAGATTGAGGATGCACTTTCAGGTCAAGCTCAGGTAAAGTATACTGTCTTTTTGTGATATCTGAACAATACAAAAGTGGATCTATTGAACTAGTACAAAAAGTTTTGTTTTCGACAAAGGACATGCAACTTACGGCAAGTTGCTAATTTTAAGGACATCGTCTGGTATTTTAAATGCTGTGTTTTTGGTCTGTTGTACAATATTAGGCAAGCGTATTTAATTATTTTATTTGTAGGTATCAATCAAGAAGTCGCTTGAAACCAGAAGATTTAGAAGTGTGGTGTTGCTAGCATTTTAAAAAGGAGTACGTTCCGTTCTATATAAAAAATATTACGCGTGAAACAAGTATGGTTTTCTCGTTTTAAATAGTATCTTGTCGCTCTATCGCTCGATATGTAACAAAGATAATTAAGGTGTTAATTAATTAATTAATGTACACAAGTAATTATTTTACAATTGAGTGAAACGGTAGATGTATCTCCAAGAATAAATTCCTATTCCTTGCATAAAAGAGAATGCAAGTTTCTTTATGTTTTTTTAAGATTACATAGATATCATCCAATGACTTCCCCAGCCCTGGGTGGGACTAGAGGGAGTGTCAGACTCTTAATGACTAAAAACCACACCGGTCCTTCTCCTACTCCGAGCTAGGCGGGCGGTACACTTTACGCTTTACACAAAGTCATTGAAAATAAAATCAACAAAACATATTAAAAATGTCGTATTATTACACCATAATTAAGTTATTTTATATAATAAATGCCAAAAATAGACGCTTTTTACAATAGCAGCATATTTGCATATTCTATTCAATTTAAAGCAACGTCTTGTTATTAAAATTATAAATATTATTCTTCCACAACTTTTATAAATATTAAGTACTTCATTTTTAACATCGGAATTAATCCTGATATTGCTGAGCTTACAAAAACACAGGATTTAAAAAACTTGCAATAACTATATATTTCAACATCATACAAATGCGGTATAGGGATATAAAATCAGGACATCATCTAAAGGTGATTTAATAAAAATACACACAGGTGAATATTGGTGTAGGAAAAACAATTTCACACACACACACACACGTACAAGATCACAGAACACATTTGCAATAATTTCTGATTTACGCCGCATCAATTGGCGCTAGTGAGACTTTAGGTCCATTGAAAGAATGAATTAAATTTTGACTAGGTACTCTGAGAAGAAAAAGAAAACATTTTTCTATGACTTATTATTTAACTTGTTGACAAAAGTTTACTAACAAATATAATTTAACTAGTGGTCTTTTGTTCAAAAGGCTTTATATGACACCAGCGTCTCTAGTGATGCGAAGAACCTTATTTTTTTGGCACATTTAGCTGTCTCTTTCATTCAAATCGTTTAGTAGTCAGTCAGTAGAAATGGGCATGTGTCAAATCGAGCATTAAGTATGGCCTTTTTAAAGCTCATAAGATAGGTTTTAGCTCTTGTCACTTGTTGTTCCATGTTCTTTAGACTTGAATGTCGTTTGAGTATTTAGAGGATCTGAAATACTATGAATATATTTCTAACGGGGAATGTTTAACTAGGTCAGTTAAAATTATGTGTTATGCTTTTGCTCTTTAAATTTTGGGGATTAAATTTTATGGCCCGTTACAATCTTAGAAAACTAGTGCTTTCTTGGACTATAGGTACTCATTCTTAGCCTGACTTACACGTTTATAATTTGATTAAGAATTAGCATATACGTGGCCAATTCGAGGATGGAAATGTTTGTGGACAATGCCAAACCCTATCTGAATATTACTGTATTTATTTATTTTATTTTAGCCATTTTTATTGCGTAACGTTTCCAGAGTTATCTTGTTAGAGTGCAATGGTTATGTCTTAATAACAGGAATGGTTAAAAACTCGTTATCGCCAACACCGTCACACCAATTATAAAATTGAACTAGTTATAGCTACTTGACCACCGTTCTGATTTAATAAATGAAGATGGAATTCGAAAAATTGGGACAAATGTATTTGATATTTTATTGATAGGTTTGATAAGTCTTGTTACAATTACGTATTCTAACTTTTAAAGTTTCGCGTTTTATATTTACAACATACAATACTGTAGTTTCCAACTAGTAAAATTCAAAACTATTATCCAAATGACAAAAACTATACTTTTCTATGAAATTTGTATGACAAAACTGAGTTATGACGTCATAATGTTTTTCAATGAGTCAAATAGCTTACTTATTTCTTAATAATCAGCTACAAAATATCTAAAACTTAGTGTATCGACAGATCGATGAATAAAAGTATAGTTATTTTTCAATATTTTATTGTATTGAAATGACGAATTATTTATTTTTGACCTAGGAAACTACCCAAAAACGCGGTTCAGTCTGCTTGCGACCACGATCTGTGCAACCAGGTCGAAACGTCAAGCCTACCAAGGTACTTAAATAATTATTTTTCTCGTTAATACCCGCGTAATTATATATTGTAAATTACGCACCCATGTCTTGTTTTGGTCATTTAAGAACTTTTCTGTTCTAATATTATAAAGAGGTAAACTTTCTAAGTTTGTATGTAGGGGGTAGTCTTCGGAACCGCTGGTAGGATTTCCAAAATTCTTTCAATGGTAGATAGTTTAAATGTGCCCGAGTGCTAGAAGCTATAAAATACACTTCATTTGCGTATTTTAGTAGGTAGTCCAGCTAAAGCTTTAAACGCTGCTGTATTTGAAGTCCCAGGATACATTACTTTTACACGCGAGTGACGCCACGGGCGGAAGCTAGTATGTAACAAGGGTTTAGTGAAGACCACTCCGAGACTTCAGAGTGACATTTTTAGTAGTATTCGCAAATGAAAAGGCTCTTGAAGAAGTCAACATTTCACTTCAATAAATAAGTATCCATCCTCTGCGAATAGCCATCACTGTTGTTATAGACAATGCCATTGTTACAAGAAAAATACCTTGTACAACTCTATTTCATAATTTTGTTTCTTTTTACTTCGACATTATTTACAATGTTCAAGCAATATCATTTATTTCCAATATCCATTAGCAAGGAGTCTTCACTTAATGTAAGTATGTTCAAGTTTTTATTTGTTTTCGACTTCTAGACTAGAGAATAATGTGCCTGACCTTTTTTCAGCCTAAGTAAATGAATATCTTTTTTTTGTAAGAGTATATTCTAATATTATTTAGCTACGCTACTAATATTTTTAGAAAGTTTTGAATTATGGAAGTTTGTTACGCTTTCACCTAAAAACTACTGTACGGATTTGGATGAAATTGGGCACAGAGATATAATTTAGTCTGGAGTACGAATACGTGTATTTTTTATCTATATAATTAGAATAGGAGAAGATATTATGGGAATTTAATTATTTAAGCTTGATCCCTAAATATTGGAGCAATATTGAAATGTAAAATTAATATTGCCAATAGAATTTAACGTGATTGTTCTACTAGAACTATATAAAAAATATCCATATGATTACGATTGGGTAATAAATTCACATACCTAAAGGATGATTATTTTTTGTAACATCCGTACAATTTGTCTAAAATGGCATTACAGCAAAGTTTCTTTACGTAAACAATGTAAAAAAAATTGTGATTGCTAAAATTTTTGTTGGTAGGTATACCTACTACCAAGTAGAACTATTTTCTGAATTACTCAATAAAACCTACTGGAATTATACATTATACCTAAAGCAGACTTTCTTAACCATTGTATAAAATGAATAAAAATATTTTCAGAATTTTATTAACAGGAAGTATAATAATGTTGATGCAGTCGCAATTTTTTTTTTATTCTGTATCTCACGCATAAAGGATTTATTCAACTTGGTTTTTGATAAATTCATTTGTGGTATAATTAATACAATTAATAATAAAAATGTATAGGATGATATTATTTAAACACATTTTTGGTAGATGTAGGATGCATAGAAACTAGAAAAGGATAGGGACAAGTTTTTGTGCAGATAGGCATGCAAAAAGCCACACACTATAAAAGCTACATGATGCGAAATAAAAAAACAAATAACGCTATACTTAAAAAAAAATATAAGAAAAAGTAGCTTCATCGAAATAAATTTTGTAAAATACATAATTTTTTCATTATTCTGAGAAAAATTGCAAAGACGGAAAATAATGCCGATTTTTTTTCTGAGAATTCGTACCACAATGGCGCGGTTTTTGGGACGGTTCCATTTTCAAATATCTCTGGTAATACGTTAACAACACAACACTGAACTCGCTTTGTTTATTAGTTCGTAATTCGAATCTGGCAAGGATTGTCTATAACTGCATGTCTATGCCAAAACTTTAGAAACGTTGATTAAAATTCTTAAAACTCTATTTGTATAAACGTAGAATTGAAATCAGCTTGTACGTAATCTTTTTTTGATGAGCTGATTTCATTTGGAGCAAGCAATTATCGTACAAACAGCTTGGGTGATTAGATTTAGCCTAATGACCGTATTTATGAACCTTGAATCGTAATAAAGATGCCAACGCATCGATAATTTGCAATTTTCAGTAGGTAAGATCATTTCAATTTTATAAATCTTTGAGCACTGAGATTTCAATCTCTTTGGTAAGCTTTTTTGAGTCGAGAACAATCAGACCTTCATTGTAGTTAAGTCTGACACTCTTTTGACCTAAGAGGGTAAGTTTGAATAAGTTAGAACATAATATAATATAATAATAAGTAAATAATTTGCCATAAACAAGGTTAATATTATAAATTACCAATAATAAAGAATGCAAAGATCAAATAGCAAGAAAATGTCGTGACATCATTGTTGAGTTGGGGTTTCGTTAGAAAGCAAAAAGTAGGGAATAATTACAAACAAAATATTAATAAATGCCGGACTCAGACAGGCTTTCAGATAATTATTTCCGCGCCTATTTTTATCGCTTGTGAGATTATTACGCGAACATATATCCTATATCGATAATGCGAAATAAATCCGCACAAATTATTAATTCACTGTACAAACACAGCCTGTATTTTAAACAAACAATAACAGAACTGCTCTAGAAAAAATAAAATGCTTGTAAAAAAAGAAGTTAAAAAAATGCAGAGGCGTAATGTGTCTCTAGCGATAGTTTCACACTTTCACCATTACATAACGCGGTACTTAAAGTACTGAACGCGTCTAAAGAGACTCGTTATCATAACGAACATGATAGAGAATGAAATGACTAGTCGTAAAAGTAATTAATAATGTGTTTTTTCGATACCAAAACTTTTTAAAAAGAATTCGGATTACATTTTAAGCCATGTTAAATGTTTATATATGTATTATTACACTTGTAAAAGAGCGGCGCCCTCTGGCACAGGCATCCATAAGCTTAAAAGAGGACGCCACCACCTGTATAACAATGTAAATCGTGTGAGTAATAAACAACGAAACCAATCTTATTTTATAAAAAAACAAATATATGGTATATAGACTCCAATATTAAAGACCTTATGTATATTTTTTTTACAAACGTGTGCAAGTGAAAACTGTTCAACTCATTATCAGCATCTACTCGTAGAGTAAAATAAGAACGAAAAGTAAACTCTCTTCTGGACCACTTCCACATCTAAAAAGTACGTCGCGATGTCAACTTTCTTTTATAATTCCGTAAGAAATTGTTACTAAATATTTTCTTTTATATGGGAAAGCACGCAATATATAACACGTTAACACGTTATTACGCGTTACGCATCACCCTTCTTGTTTTCCTCAATTGAGTGACGTACTATTAATATTCTTTTTTTATTTAGCATATTAACATATAAATTACATTTTTAAATATTTCTTAAAAATAAATAATAAAAAACATTTAAAAATATAAAAAATAGTGTCCCACCGGTATCGGGAACTGGGTCCAAGCTACCGGCGGTCAGGGCTCCAGAGAAAGGAACCTCCTGACAATACGAGCCGTGTCCAGGAGTACCACTTTCTGAATCAAGCCCTTGATCCAGCCACCTAACGAGAGCCTCCTAAGATGTTGGTCGAGGCTCTTGGCTATTAAGCCATTTGCTGACACGACTATCGGTACAATGATAGCTGAATCCACTTCCCACATGTCGGCAACCTCGCGAGCCAAGTCGATATACTTGATCAGTTTATCTTTCTCGGCTTTCACAAGGTTCTCGTCATGTGGGACGGCTATGTCAACAATCATTGCACGCCTCTCCTTCCGGTCCACCACCACAATATCAGGCTTATTGGCCACAATAGTCCTGTCAGTGATGATAGACTGGTCCCAGTACAAGGTGATATGACCATTATCAAGAATATTAATATTATTGTTGAGGAATCTTCCCATACAATTTCCAAAATACGTAACGTTACGTAAAAAAATAAGGGAAACGTACTCGAAAGATCTTTAAGAATATTTTTTTCATACGGTACATCTTTTATTTGTTTGTTTTTGACAATTTTATTTGCGTGAAGAAAACAGCGTTGGTAATTCTCGAAACTGGAATTTGCTGCACTAATTCTATTTAAATTTCTATAGGCTATTTAGATGTTCCTACGGGATCCGGGAAATAATCCGCCAGTTAAGACTTACGGATAATTAATCAGACACTGCGGAAAAGTCCTTAGAGTATCCAAAATATACAAATAATAACATTCAAGTCAAAGTTATAAAAACAAAATTTATTCCAACTACATAATATACAGGCACTTTTGAAAGATAAGTGCGTTTTCCAAGCGAGAGGTAGATTTAAATGGAGAAATTCAAATAAAAAATGTTTTGTTGTGGTGGCCCGCTTCTCATGCAGGAGGGTGGAGGGTTCGAAACCTAGCAAGTACCAATGTAATTTTTCCGCGTATACTTTCTATGATTATTTAGACACCACTGACATACGGTGAAGGTAAACATCGTGAGGAAACCTGAACTTATAATTTATTTAATTTAAATATAAGTTTGAAATCGCCTTAAGCAAGCGTGGTGATTCCTCGTGTGAAAAGAGGGCATTTTATAGGCTAATGATGATGCAATAAAAACGAGAAACTGCTAATTCTTTATAGCAAATAAAACTCGTAACTCCATTTTTTTAAGGTTCGATGATATGATAATTTTGTAACAATCCTTATCTGTAGGTCAGTGAAGCAACTTATACTTTCGAAACTGATAGTGCGATTATTTGCGATTACCTTACAAATGCGTCTTATCAGGCCAAATACAGCCTATTAAACATTCATTGATAATACTTATCAAGTTCTGATTGAAATAGGATTTGTTATCAACTTTTTTTGTCTAAATAAGCATGCAGGTTGCTTGTCCTGAAGGAGGTTATGTTCGATTCGAAAACATTATAAAAAAAACATGGTTTTAATAGACTAGGAGCAATATAACAACTTAGTTTAGATCTACAAAACTAGATGGCGCCCAACGAAGTCACACTATTAAGTTGAATTAAATTAAAATACATTAATACCGTATTTATGATTAGATAACAAACGATCAACTGCGTGTTCGCATTGGATACGTAAGAAATCGAGTATGTTTTGCGTCGATGCGTTTCTGGGTAGACTGAATCGATCTATATGACGTGTGTAAGCAGTTTAGGCTTACGATATTACGATTCTATTACGGTTCTGTTACGTGGTTATGATTTAAGTAACGATTTGTTGACAGGTAAATTGAATACTTATTTATGGAATTTCTTTTTCGAACAAAATTCTGAGTAAATAAATTTTTCTTCTTATTTTAAGCACGAATCTAGAGATGGTTTTTTTCGCGTTTATAATGTTAGTCAGTGCATTAGAAAGATATTATGAAAGATTAAGAATCACATAGTCTTCTGTCGTTTTGTCCAAAACTTAGTTATCTATAATATAAAAATGAATCGCAAAATGTGTTGGTAAGCGCATAACTCAAAAACGCCTGGACCAATTTTGACAAATCCTTTTGTATTTATTATTGTCAGGAGAAGGTTCTTATGAAAGAAAACATTAGAAAAGTAGGAAAAGGGATCCTTTCGTTGTTAGCGAAATAGACCCGTGCGAAGCGGAGGTGGGCCGCTAGTGTCACGATAAAAAAATAGTAGTCTATGGTGTTTTACAAAATATAAAAAAACTAGATTTTATTTTCAAAAAAGACAATTACCTAGTCGTATTTTTTACAGTTCAAAAATATAATCTTACTCCGTCTAACTTAGACTGTAGGTGTCTCAGTATAGGTGTTACGAGGCCTTTAAAGCCCTGAGAGACTATATAAGGCTGCCTATCTCCATACTTGTAAACAATGGAACGTAACAGGAAAAAAAAACGTTTCAAACCAAAAGAAAGACTTTGTCTTTGGTGTAATTTGAAACAAAGGAGGTTTAATTTTGGCTCAATGATGTTTTATTTACTTTTTCTTTTGCACGTTTGTTTGGCATTGATTTCATATGATTTAGAATACTATTTTACTAATGATTTGTTTGACTTATCCGCTATCATAATATTATCCATAGGACAAGATCCATCGTTTTCTTGCATTATAACATTTTTAACAGCTCTGATACTTTTACATTCGGTTTATCTTTTTCAATTTAACTTTTTTAATTAAATTTTACCGCCGATTTACGCGCAATAATTTCTGTTAATCTAGTTCTGTTAATAGGTGCTTGCAAAAAAACACAATCTTCCCACCGCGTAATAGAATGTTTAAAATTTAAATTTAAATATAGAACAACTCGCAAAACTGCGTAGCGACAATAATACTTTCAATGAGTAAAGAGTTTCATATCTGAGTTTTGAGTTTACGAGCATTTTATTGGCATCGGTTCGCGGAAACAGTGCGCCCTTCGAGTCAATCATAATGATAAAATGGTTTTCATTATTCGCTATCTATTAGATAACACATGTTCCAATATTTAAACACGGAATCAAAATACCACTCACATGTTTACTCTTCTTTGTATTCCAATTTTAAACTTGTCAAACGCACATGCGCACACTAGGTATAGATTTATCACACACACACACACGGAACAATCTGATAAAAAAATATCAATAAAAATCACTTATTTAAATATTTATTGTATAACTGTGAAGATAACTGGTTTATTACGAAGTCGTGAGTGAAATGTCTGACATCACGCCACCGTCGAAACGAATTTCACTTTCGATGAGCGCTCTCTCTCATTTCACTATCGTTTGAGTAACAGTTTCATTAAATCGCAGACCGATGTTAAAAAAGAAAAAAAAAAGAATAAAACCACACAACGTAAATAAAAAAAACTTACTTGAATTACGACTGATATTTAAAAAAAAATTTTTTTTCGCGCCACTAAATTTAAATTAAGAACGCGTAACTTTTTCGTCGTTGGCGATGTGCGATCGTCGCAGTAGCACCAAAGAGACTGATAGCAACAATGGATTTAATATTAGCTCTCGGCGATAAATTATCTTGATAATTTATTTTTAGCCGTTAATTAATAAAAGCAAAGAGATTTTTCTCGGTATTTGTCTACTCTTACAAAGAAATTTTTTCTCGTAAATAAATATGTAAATTCCTAATAAAAAGCAATTAATAATATTCAGTCCGCCAGACTTTCTTTATTCTTTCGCCAGACTTTCATGGCTGCCCTCCAAAAATCAGATTCAGAAAAAAATGTGCTCTAATCCAACGACATACCATTGATAATTAATATTCACTACGTAAAACTTACTTTGATATTGACTTTAATTTGTAACAACAAAGGCCCGAAGACATAGTATACAGAGAGCATTGATAATGAACCGTATGCCCTTGAAATTAGAGTATGAATTAAATGCGTTCATTTATTTCCGGAAATAAACGAACGGTGGCGTGATCATCGCGTGCGTTTGCGCAGGTCCACTGACCCGTATTCGTTATACTTAGATTTGTTTTGTTATTGATTTTAGGTTCATCAACGCCTTTGTTTTTTTCTTATCCAATCCAACATCACGTGTTTTATTTTTTATAACATAACTTGACTATTTAGAAAAAAACAATAAAGTCTAACAATAATATAAAAAAAAAACATATAAACGGTCGAATTGAGAACCATCCTCCTTTTTGGAAGTCGATTAAAAAGCAATTGAAGAAAAAATACGAGCGGATTGCACGTTTTTTTAACCATAATTCATTACCTTTCATTGCATGTCAGAAAAAACTTTCGTACGCACATTTTTTTGCAATTACAACACTCATTTGTGGTCATGATTAACTGATTGTTGTTAATTGCAATAATGCTTAGCAACAGGTACTCAATTCCTCCTTTATTTGTTATTGTGGAGTAAATGTGACGGATTCTCGTATCAATATTTGTATTGTAAAGCTGAGAATATCTGTTAGACTTTGAACGCGTTATCTTAAAAAAAAACTACGTTTAAAATAACCGACTTCAAAAACAAAAAAGTGTCAAATAAGTAATTAAAATTGATATTTTAATACCACTCTTACGTACGCGAAGCTAATACTTTTAATATTAATAATAAAACACTATCAATTCTATGTGCTACCTATTCATAGGTTTGAAGTCGGTGCCAAGCCTAATACACAATATAATAAGCATGATTACATGAGTACCTACACTCGCCGGGCGCGTGTGAATTTATTTGTTAGGATTTAAGAAATGTAGTACCGATTTTCTAACTTGATGGCGTAAGCGTAGAATCAGAAGTCTATATGGTTGCGTTACCGGCGAAACTGTATATAGCTTAGAAAGATATTTGGATGAATTATGAAAGTTTTCTCGTACTTGGTTGTTAAAAGTAGTAGTAGATGGCTGCGTTGTTAGTTGTGGAAATTTCGTCTTTCAGCAATTGAACAGTCTTAATTCTCATTTAGTTTTATTCTGTTTAGGGCTTGGCACCGACTTCAAACCTATGAATAGGTAGCACATAGAATTGATAGTGTTTTATTATTAATATTAAAAGTATTAGCTTCGCGTACGTAAGAGTGGTATTAAAATATCAATTTTAATTACTTATTTGACACTTTTTTGTTTTTGAAGTCGGTTTTTTTAAACGTAGTTTTTTTTATTTTTTACTTTGTAGTGTCTGTTACAAGTTCTTCTGTAAACTACAGTAACATTTTAAATATAAATTAACATATTGAATAGTATATATTTTTAAGTAGCTATGTGTAGGTCTACGAAAGGAGCCGCTCTATTAAAAAATATAGATCCCAAGAAATGGGAAAGTTCTCATCATCATCATCATCATCATCAGCCATTTTAATTTTCCCACTACTGAGACACAGGTCATCTCTCTAGAAGAGGAAAAGTTTTTAACAATATAAATAAATTAAGTCCAAACACGAGGTAGCTACTGTAAACCGTTGAGGAGTTCCCTAGACTGTCCTTCGTCTTCATTATCAGATCCCTAATGACAGTCACAATCCATCTAGGTGTAAAGTTCATATCAAAACGAATTTTTTAAGCTCAAACACAAGGAAGTTGCTATGAATCGTTGAGGAGTTCTCTCGACTGTCTCTCGGTTCCATCCGGAATTCCCTCGACGGTCAATGGTCTCCATCATCAGGTAAACTGCAGGCCTTCAGTTGTTATAATACATACAGGTACGAAGTTTTCATCAATATAAATGAATTAAGTTTAAACACGAAGTAGTTACTGTAGACCGTTCAGGAGTTCCCTGAGCTGTCCTTCGTTCTCATCATCAGACCCTTAATGACAGTTACAACTAGCCTGCTGCAAAGTGCTTGCCAATACGAATCATTCAAGCCCAAACACAAGGCAACTACTCCAAATAGTCAAGGAGATCCCTCGACTGTCTTCCAGCTCCAGCATCTGGTCGACTTCGACCTTCGTCAAGTTGTAGTGTTGTTAAAGGCCTACTTAAACATCATACAAAAAAACTACTCGCCCCTACAATTTTCGAAAGTTCCCCTCGGTTTCTCCAGGATTCCATCATCAGATCCTGACCTCATGACAATGGGACCAAATGGCAAGTATACCCTATCGAACAAAAAAAGAATTTCGCAAATCGGTCCAGGCGTCTTCGAGTAATCGGTGTACATACATAAAAAAAAAAAAAAAAGTACTCGTCGAATTGAGAACCTCCTCCTTTTTTGAAGTCGGTTAATAACGTACAAAGCACTGCATTTCATAAACAGTTCAATGATTCGGTGTCTATCTTATACTACGATATGACCTCTAAAAGTATAGTAATTACAATTTCATTCGACAATAGAATAAAAAACACTCAGTGACAAATGGATAAAAAAAAAAATTTTTCTGGCTATGAGGAATTCAGCAAGTCTAACTGGCCCATTTGAAAATCATTGGGTAAACTTATCTTCAAAATCAAAAAGGTCAACAGTGGTCTTCTTCTGGCTGATAAGATAAATAATAATAAAACATTAAAGACCCGCCCTGGTTTGGCACAGGTGCAAAGTTGATACTAAATTTCTCCGCTATTTAATGGGTGTTATTACAAATCGTATTCTCTATAGCTCTACAATCAGTCTATCTATTATACCTATACAACATCAAGAACCGTTGCGTAGTTTCAAAGATTTAAGCAAAGCGACTTTGTTTTATATTATGTAGTAGTCTTTGGTTAAAAAATCTGCTCTAAATAAAATTGATACTAGTCACTAGTCAGCTACATAGTCACGTGGTCGCTTCGTCAGTTTGCACCAAACAATTTGCCTTATATTTTGTTTCCGTTGTCAATTTAAGCGTCAATTGAATAACAGACCGTAAGGCGTAGTCCAGATCGTTTATATATGAACAAGATTTTTATGGCTACGTTCATAACATCAAAATACTACATATCGATAAAGAATTATAAAAGAAGCGGCCGTCCCCGCTCCGTACGGTCCACCTATCACGTTAACAACGAAAGGAACACTTTTTTCCAATTCTCCCCTCTACTTTTCTGATATTTTCTTTGATAAGAAACTTCTCACAAAAAAAAATGTGGAAAATTGGTTCAGGCGTTATGCGCTCACCAACACATTTTCCTATTCGTTTTTATATAATAATAGATTAGGATTAAATATGACACAAATTAACTACTCCTACTACTAAGTATTTAAACTGGCTCTTAAAGTATTATTGCACTTGAGCCGATCAAATGCAAAAAAAAACTGACCGTGTTTGAACTCATCTACAACAAAAAATCTGACTTCTACATAGTTCAAAAGATTTGTATAGTCTAACAAAATGACTTTTTAATACTACATTTACTTGGTATTAATGGCAAAGATATGACTAATAAATTACGAACACCTTTTTTGTTTTGCATACATTGACAATTTATTATTAGCGCCAATTTTATCAACAATCATGATGACACGACAGAATTGTTTCGTTCTTTGCAATCGAGTGAAATATTAAATATTCCAAGTATATACACTTGCAATATTAAAAAAAAAATATTAACTAAAAGTGTCTAAAATAATTTAGTAAAGAAGACCATACACAAGTGACACTAAATTGCCCAACAATGCTTGCAAGGGCCAAATGGGTCCAAGGGCTGGACGTAACGGACAACAATAAAAACATTATGAGCAGTAACAATTAAGTGCTTTCAGAGTATTCAGGTAGAAATATTTGTAATCAGTCGTTTAAGCTTGTTGCAGGTCAAAAACCCAACTGGATGCAGTTCAGCATGGAAATATTATTAGCAAGTCAGAATGCAAATACAAAATTCTCCGAAAAACAAAATTATCTGTGCCCGATTCTAGTGCTGAAATAAAACAACTTTTTCAATACACCAATACGGAAATCTCGAAATAAATTTACTTCTAATAAATCATGCAAATGATCAATCAGCTGTTGCGATTTGTATGTTTTTTTTTTTTGAGATTTGGGTATTTTTACAATGGAAAAAGTTATTGAAATTGAGCACCAAAATCGGCTTCATCAATACCCCTCATTTAACCTAACACACTGTATTTAAATTGGTCATAACTATTATTGCCATATTGTGAACACAGCTTTATTGAGTCGACCGTATTGTTGCGTACATTGCCTATGAATAGGTAATGGCTGAATAGATTTAAGTAAAAACTGCTAATACTTGGAAATATTCACAATTACTGTCTGACCTTACACACCTATGATAAGTTAGAAGGTTGGTATAAGTTTATGATACGTTTTATGAATTGTAAAATGAAATGAAATAAATATATTCAAGCTGGATGCATGTCGCTTCTAACTTATGGATCTAGAAGTCTTTGGGCAAACATGACAGTCTGTCTTTTTTGTGAGGGGAAAATCATCAAATGACTTATCTCGCCTAGGGTGGGGCGGGAGGGAGTGTCAGACGACTGACTAAAAATCCCCACGTTCCTTCTCCTGCTCTAGGTCGAGGCTGCGATACCTTATTACGTTTGTCCCACCATCTCGGCACAGTCTGGGGGGTCTGGAGTGATATGATCTCGAGCGACTGATGGTGATGAGGAAAGTCTACGACTTAAGTGCGAGCGCTTAAAATCCGACGAATTGGCCAGGCCAGATATCTGGGCTGAGACCCAACTCAACAACTGGATATTTGATTTGAGCACACTCTTTGTGTGCTCCACAAATTGTTGTTCCGAGTCTGAAATCTGGATGTGATGTATACTTGAAGTTGTATGTTTGTAAATGCGCCCACGACACAGATGGGGCAACGTTTTTTTTAAAGAAAAATAAATAAAGGTGAAATGGCCAAAACCAATGGAGTCGTACTATTGACTGTTTCCGGAGTCTAATTACAGCAATAAGGAAAGGACGGTGAAGGAAAAAGGTTGGAAAGTGAAAAAGTACAATAACCTTGAAATGGTTTCAGTTGAAGAAAGGACAACCGATTTCTGATAAAGAGACATAAGTTGATCTTGATATTAGTAATAGGTAATTAGGTATTGAAAAATATATGAGCACTTTTTATGGGTGCAAAATCTACAACTTCTCAACGCACTGGATTGGGCAAGAAATATATTATGCCCATTAAGCACCTGAAAATGATTTCATTTGAACTTTTAAAGGATTAGCAACCGAAGGTTAAAATCTAATTAGTAGCAGTCTCGCAGTATTTTCGTCGGGGTTTCAAAATGTTTTTCTTGGTAAAATCTGCTTAATTAAATTCTTGGAATTATTAATGAAAGTTCCAAGTAAAAGGTTCTATTCTACGTAAATGATTCACACTCCAATATTCGATTAAGGGCTTGTACACTATGATGGGTTACCCAAGTTGTTGTGAAGTCATATTCTTTGATACATTTCACCAAATAAGCAGTCATCTGTTGATATTTCGTCTCTATAGAGATCGGTTATTAGTTTCGGCCGTTATTCAGACAAAGAAACAAGCCATTGTAATTAATCATTAGGTACATTCCAAAGTATCTTATTACTGTTGTTTGTGAATAGGCTGTTACTTCAAAGACATTTGAAATTGGAATCTGTTTTCCGTCTTTCGCGAGTTTACGTATCCGTATCGAAACATCAAACGATTTATTTTGGTACTAGTAATCGATGAGTATAATTTTTAAGTGGTATTTGAGTGAGGAATATACGATACTATCAAGTATCTGTGAACAGGCCATTACTTTTTTTTTATTCTGTTTAGTTTACACTTTAGTGGCAGAGACAAGTAATAAAATAGAGTAGGCGTTCTTTTTTATTACACGCCTTATTTCCCGCTCTTTTTATTTTCGGCCAGACTCACAAAGAATTTTAGACACTTTCGTTATCGTTTATACAGCTTGATAGTGACGTGTTTGATGAATTACTTGCAATCCAAACAAAAGTGTTTTAATTGTAAATTGTATAAATTATTGCGTAAGACGAGTAAATAGTGTTAACTAAAGTAACACACTGACGTTGTAGGGGGAAACTAATTTATTTAAACGACTCGACTAAGAATATTGACGAGAGTACCTATTCATAGTGCCAGAGAACTTACAGCCAAATAGACAGCTGTTGTTGTCGCTGCGTTATAACAATAATTACAATTAGAACTGCGACATTTATTTAATAAGATGCGTTGTTTGGGAACACGCTCATTATAAATAATATAAAAATAAATGTGAATTTAATTCGTTGCTACAACATTATCACTTACCTACCTATTTAGGTACGTGTAAAAAAACGACCCCGAAAACCATGTAAATAAGAATTATGTTTTAATTCTATTGAATTATAGTAATAAGAATGTAGGTAATAGAATTCGTTATTATTGACGACATATTTTTTTGAAGTAAACAGCTTATTTTGCGAAGGTTAAACAAATCGGGACTTTCCCTGTCGATAGCCGCATTTATTTGTTATTTTCCTGTTATAAATGTATTTATTTTGAGAATTATACTTTTACACAATTTCAAATAGGTGAGTACTATGTTAAAGTTTTAGTCGGACAAAAGAACTATGTATTAGTGGCGCCCGCGTCGCTTTACGGATGGCGTAACTTCTCGTGTGTCATCGCCCCTAGTAACACCGACAATTACTATTTAAATATTGAAAATGTTGACTTCCTGTCAACTCTTTTTAAAAGGTCGATATATCAAAATTTCACTGTAAGTCAACAAACTTGGAATTTTATAAACTGACACAATAAATAGAATATCAAAAAATTTGCTACCTTAACAAAAAAAAAACTCACTAACTTTATTTTGTGAGTTTTATTAATCTAGCGAAAAATTAACTGTGCAACCAAATCATAAATTCAACGCAAAAATAAACTGCAAAGCAAAAATTAATGATGCAACAACATAAAATTGTTACTAATTTATTATATATATTTACAACTAACATAAAAAGTGCTATAATATAAAAAAACAGATCCATAGCAAAACACTGATCACGTCACTATTAATCTACTAAATAAAAATTTAAATTGGAAGCATCACAATACGACCGGCAAAAAAAGTAAAATAAAGCACAGACACAAACTCAAACAGCTTTATACCAGCTCATTTTTGTTGCCTGTGGCCCGTTGACCCCGTTTCCTGCATTCTGCCCGGAGCTGTTCCTTATTCATGGCTGCTAATGCCTCAGGGCTAAGGTTCTGACGAGCCCTTCCATTGTCAGACACAGAGTTCTGACGCGGTATGACCATCGAATTGGCATTATTACGGGCACGTCTTGTGCCCACCATATTCGTAATATATAATTATTTCCTGTTTAGTTATAATTTTCACTGTGTCTTCTATGCTTTAATGTTATCCCGCGTCTTCTTGCCTTGCAGATTATGGAGAAATTGTTGATGTAATAAATACATGTTTTATTGTAAATATATATAATAGATCACTTATTAATATTATTAGTATTACACTGTATTAAATATTAAAAAGTATATAGAAATGTGAAGTTATAAAAAATATTTAAGTAAATAGTATTATTTTTATAAGATATTTTAGACAGATTTAAATTATAAGTAAGATTAAATAAAATATTTTAAAACAAAATGAATATTAATGCTGACTTTGAACTGTGATATATGTGCAGTCCCAAAAATGTTTATAATACATGAATTAATGTGTAAAAATAAATATTTAAAATATTGCCTATATACATGACAAATTTTTTGTGAATTGAAAAAATAAATATATGAGTATGTAAATAAATATTTTTAAATAAAACATAAAGTATTATTTTAAATATGTACGAAAGATTTACCGGTGAAAACGCACTGAGTTATTAATTTAAATCAAATTAATGGTAAGTTTGCATGTAAATATTTGCATGAAACGGCGAAAATTACCCTCGTCATAATGTTATTGATTATTTATGTTCACTGAAGCGTAACATAATCGTATGATGAGAAACATTGATTCCATACGTGGAGGGCATTTTCTAGCAGATCAAAAATAAAAAAGCCACTTTCAGCCCCTAGTAAATTAAGCGTAAATTTGAAAATATCGGAAAAAATGTTTAGGGACAGTCAGCGGAAATTATAGGTAACATCTAACCTAACATAACATTAAAAAAATATATTCCAAAGATACTCACATTCGCAGTAAATCAAGAACAGTATCGCTAACGATTCTCAGTCTTAATTTCATTCAATTTGTATTTATTTTAAAATAAAACAATATTTTCCTCACACAATATCCTTTCGTGAAAAGCAAAATGTTGAAGTTTATAAAACTGTTGCCAGTATTACGGAAAATCTCCCTTTCTTTTTCTAAAGTCTCCCCTGAAACAAAGTCAAACTTTAAAGTTACGCAGTTTTTTAAACAAGGATTTTTTGACTACATTTGTTAAGCTAAACTTTTTAATTCTAATGTTAAATTACATTTACGGCCCATTACGAAATCATTTTATTTTTGCTACGTGTGTTAAAAAGTTACTTATATTTGGGTAGAAAATTTGTGATAGCAACATTTAACCAAAACACTGACGTGTTTGTCATAGACAACGTTAGTGATGCTCTGAAGGACGTCTGAAGGCGATTTCGCAACAACTATTCATCATTGATAATTAATGGATTTGTAAAATACATTGCAAAATTAAAATGTGCTCAGTTACGATATTAGATAAAATAATGCGCGTCCTGATCTTTTATTGCAATTATTATATTATAACTTATGAAAACTATTGATAAGTCGGTCTTCTCAATTATGAACGTCTAATAACGTTGATGAAAGCAGAAAAAGGCAGGCCATAGAAGTTCATGATCCCCCTTTATTAACTTTTTGAATTCATCCATGGAAAAAGTGTTGATCTGTATGAAATCTGTCACTGTCCTCTAATGACAGTTGACAAAAGTTGCAATCTCTCATCGTACTTACTACTTTCGCAGAATCGTACATAGACTAAATAAATAAATAAACATTCACTAATATCGAATAAAAAAAAAGTATAAAACAAATCTTGCGCCACTACAACACAACTTTGTTTCAAAACAGAAATAAAACAACGCGCCTGTTTGCTTCGATTGAAATGGAAGATGAATGATGATGATATCAATGATTACGTTCCCTCACTTTTAAATCCAAGGAGAGTGAAAATACATGATGGTGATTTATCACTAACACAGGTGAGGAGCATGTTGACTATACAAGGTAATTTAAACTGAGAATAAACAGAGTTCGGAATTTGAATTTCTCATTATGAAACACAAAAGCTTCTATGGAAAGTGGATAACGTAATTTGCATTATATGTATGAGTATTAGGTCGCATTACGTGATTTAAGGTTTAAATCTAATCTAGACCATAACCCTTACATGATAATTTGGATAATTATAATACAAAGACTCTTATTTTGGCACAAAATCACGTTAACTGGAGCCTTTTCCCTCTGGCAGTTTACTAAGATCTCAGAGCACCAATGGACTTTATCATTAGTGGTTGAGGGGTGAAGTGAGAATGAAAGAGCTTTGTAGGCCAAAAACTTGTCTGGAATGCTATATTTTGATGTGGCATTAACTTCTTATTGAAGAAGATGCTCTAATCATGCTAGAATATGTCACAATTTGTTTTAACATTTGATTTTTGCTCTTCTAAAAGAGGTTTTTAGCCTCTACTTGTACTAAAGTTTTATTGCAACAGTAAATAGTTTCAAAGTTATTAAATGACCGGGTCTGGAGCAGGAGGAAGAATGAGGTGGTTCTAGTCAGTATGATTCTGATACTCACTCTCGCCTGAGGGCAAGAGACATTATATGATGATAGAACCTCCTCAAAAACAAAAATAAAACTTGCTATGCTAGAGAAATTTAATAATAATTTCTCTCAAGTAAATCCTGGAACTGTTGAAAAATGAACTTACAATGTAAAATTTCTTTTTTAAATCATTTGTGTTAGATTATGGAACTTATCCGTCTATTAGCTACAGAGGCTATTAAAAACAAACAAGTTATAAAACCTTCTCTATTCTATACTTTAACATCATAAAGGTTTGTCAGTTTTTGTTTGTAAAGGTAATCTCTGGATTTACTGAACCAATGTTCAAAATTATTTCTTCAGTAGAAAGCTAAAGCTAATATTGTGGATGGTTATAATAAATGCTATAATATTAACTTGAATAATGTACTTTTTTTATAAGAGTAAAGTTATTGGGGGTAGAATAATACAGTGTGCTACAATTAAATTATAAAAAAAAAAACGAAAGCATACATATACTTATTTCATGCGGCTACTATATACTAAACTAGCTACTCTCGCGCAGTTTTACCCGCTACTCGACTTCATTTTATCGTAGCGTGATGTTTTATAGCCTATAGCATCAGGAACATTGTAGCTATCTATCAGTGAAGTCAAGAATTTCAGTAATCCAAGCAGCGGTTCCAAATATTACCCCCTACATACAAACTTACCTCTTTATAATATTAGTATAGATAATATTTATCTGCAGCATATGTAGCCCACATATTTACATAAATATGTTCATTACATCGTAAAGTTTTGCTCTTTACTCTGTTAATAAAAGGTTGTCTGTTCAAACTTATTAGTAAAATTCTAAGGATTGCACACAATATAGGGGATCGGTACCCCAGGCTAGTTCAATGGACCACAATAAAAAAAAAAAACACCATTGTAACTTTTCATCATCATCATCTAGTCTAGACTTCTCTATAGCGCGCCACTGAGTTCGATGTTCATCTTCTCATCCAACCGCTGCCAGCCACCCTGCGGATATCGTCAGTCCACCCAGCTTGAGGGTTATGAGGCACCGCGACCTCGGCCCAGAGCAGGAGAATGAACAGGGGGGTTTTTAGTCAGTAAGAGTCTAACACTCCCGCCCGGCCCTGGGCGGGAGAAAACATTTGATGATTTTACCCTCACAAAAAAAACCCAGCTGGAGGGTGCCCCACACTAGCCTCGACGTGGTCTCCATTCTAGAACACATCTATTATCGGTTCTTCGACAAATGTGACTTGCCTACTGCCACCTCAGTCTGCTAATCCTTTGGGCTTTATCGATACCTTTAGTTCGATATCGGATCACCTCGCTCGAATACTATCATTCAGAGAGTCTCCAAGCGTAGCCCTTTCCATAGCTCTTTCAAGCATAGATTTTTAATTCGTGAATCAGTCGCACTGTGAGCAAATAGCTTCACTAAGAGGACTGACCGACAGACTGACCGACAGACGAAAATTTTGAAGATATAGGTTATCTTCAAAATTTTCAAACAGGCTGGGATAAAAGTATTTGTGACGCGAAACGGATTCCTCGGGCACTGCTAGTATAATATATGTACAAGTATATACAAGAAGTAAAATTTTTAGCTCATTGCCTGTTTTCCGCAGGATCCAGTTTAAGTTTCAGATAGGTATAAGACTTATTAATGTTTTTTTTTAACAGAATTCAATTATAAGCCGCTCTTCTCTGTCTCTAAAACGAAACAATGGTTTGAAGCTTAAGCCTAAGAAACGGGTAAGTTCTTACAATAAATATTATTCAAGCTTATCTTCTATTTTTTGGTTTTGCAAAAATACTATGTATTTAGATAATTATTTTATTCTTTGACCAAACAAAAGAAATTGCTATTTTCTAGTGTATTTTCTCTTACGTTTTTGCATGAGACCTTGTCTTAACAGACAAACACAACTAAAATATCGAATTAAAGCCAGTTGTTCTCTAGTTTTGATGTCGATGTTTTTATCAAAGCAAATCAGAAAATAGTTGGATAGCCGTGCAAAGCGAGGGCGGGCTTCTAGTTTAATTTAGATTTATTAACAACTTTTGTTGACTGCAACAATAGTACCTTACTGGTTTATTATTTTAAATCTAGTAACTCAAAGTACCTTACAGATTGTACATATCACATTTTATAAGTATTTTCTGTCGTTATCGTAAAAATATGTATAAACATGGAAACTGTAAAACAGGTAAGTTGTAAACTCACGGAACATTTTAACGCATTTCAGATTTATCCGTCTGCAAACAAGGATAAAGAAAATTCGCAAAATGTACAAAACTTACTTTCCCAATTTACTGCTACCAAAAATATACCAAAGACGGTGGATAGACACAGTCTAGGATTCTCAGCGATTGAAGATCTGCAGAGTGAGGGCAATCAGTTTGAAAGCTGCTCGTTCACCCTCGCAGATGCACCCACTAAACCTAGGCTGACCAGCGTAGAAACTCCTTTTCTGTCTGTGTCTTCCCACACAGAATTAGAACGAGGTGGCGACTGTAGTGACTACAAAACAGCCTCCACAGTCATTCTAAATAATGTTAAACCTACCATATCTGTATCTTTCGGCATCGACAACTGCCAAAGTGTTGATGTCAAAGCCAAAAAGAGCTCCATAAAGAGGATACTGTTTTCACATAACAACGACAACACATTGGTCGACTGCGAAATTGTAGAAGGATCGCAAGCAAGCTCAGAAAGTGATCACGACGACAAAATGAACGAACTCCTTTCTCCCAACTCATTGAAGAGATCCGCCGTCACTGTCAATCTAGAAATTAAAAAGAAAAAGCCGTCATCGACGGAGACAGCAGAAAACAAAGTTCTAATTTTAAACACAAGTGCCATCGAGAAGATATCCCATGTCATCGTACAACCACCAAATTACAAATTAGTGAAGGGGAAAATTTTGGACAAGAATAAATTTAAAAGCGGCACTAAGAAAAATTCAGTGTTTGGTTTTAACGCTAATAATTATGGAAATGTGCGTGATAGGTTGAAGCAGCAATCTATTGACAGTTTTTTCCCGAAACGTACGAATGTTGTAAACTTGAAAGTATCGGAAGGGAGAAGTCTAGCTGAGCCTGTGTCTGATGAGAAGACTCGAGTGAATAAACATGGTGATGAGGAGGTCATGAGTAGGAATTCAGGTGTAGCTGACGCCATTAAAAGCGACAGAAATCGTAGATCGCCTTACAAAGGGTCTCGGATTGAAAATGAAGCGTCAAGTAGGACGATCAGAGTTCTTTCTCCAGGGAAAGAAGTGTCTCCTCGGCCGGAGATTAACACTTCGTGTTCGTCTCCCCGTGGGAAGGAAATACCTAGCTCACACAGCCCTCGGAAGGGTGTAGACTCCATACAGTTCAGTTTGCCGCCTAAATCTGTCTCTACGAAGAGATCTGTGTCTACCAGGAATATACCGCACCATAAGATCGTAGCAGGTACGTCTTTGATTGTTCTTGATTTTTTTTTAATAGAAGCTATCGTTAGGCATGCTAAATTTATTTAAAATACCGACATATTCACATTAATTCATCAAGCCTTGGCGTTCGCGCACCTATTGTCTTTCTTTTGTGTCTCGTATTATCATCATTTAAAGGTTAATTAGCTTTAAAGGAACCCCACATGCCTCTAATTATTGGCTTGGCTCTATTTAATTAAATAAATAAATGAACAGCGTGGTCTTTGCGGCAATGTCGGCGTAGTAGTTTTCTTTTTTCAGTTAAACAACGCGATTATCAATTAATTTAGTTATGGTGTTGGTAGGTGCTACGCCAATTCCAGTTTCGTAATTTTTGCGCTAATCCGAACTTCTAATAGGTTTTATTTTTGTAATATCTCGGCAACCTAGCAGACGGTTTACCCGATGATAAGTAATCAGCGCTGCCGACCTTTTGGGGATTGGGGAGGGGAAGGATTGGGCCTCCGGTAACCTCAATAAATCAGTGCGTCATCACGCCGGTTTTCTCTGAGGCCGTGGTATCACTCCAGTTGAGCCGACCCATTCGTGCCGAAGCATGGCTCTCCCACAATTAATAGGTAAAAGCTATTCAAAGTTAAGGTTACTTAGATGGTAACTATCCCAGGCTTGCTTGGTTCCATCAGCAATTGTCTGATGGTGTCTACAACTTGCAGGCACACACTTTGCGGTGGACGCGTTCTCGTACGGGGAGATTCCGAACGTGAAGCATTACTTCCTCACGCATTTCCATTCGGACCATTACTCCGGCTTGAAGAAGAGCTTCAATAAATTATTGTTTTGTTCGAAAATTACCGGTGAGGTGTATTTTTTATATGCTTACTTATAATTTTGGTGTGTGTTGAATGTTTGTATTTTTTTCAATCCGACTATAAAAGGCACATTTTGATACTCAAAAATACTGCCATGAAAAATTACTCGTTTAGAAAAATAGCAGATAATAAAATTGTTATGGAGTAACCTGAATAATTTTGTTTTCTTATAAATGCAGTTTGTCGATCACTAAACCATATAAGTACCATGTCCCAAATCTTCAAAGCTTTCAAATGTTTTGCGAATAAATATTTTGCGTAAAATACTTTAGCAAATAGCCCAAGAATATAACTGTTACAATATTGTCTTGAATGTAATTTGATAAATATTGCAGCTGATCTGTGCATATCACGGCTGGGCGTGAATCCAAAGTGTATCCACGTGATTAAGACCGACGAAACTATTCGGATCGACGGCGTCGAGGTTACTGCTGTGGAAGCCAATCAGTAAGTGTCCCTATTAGCTTTTTGGCAGTGTCCTGATACAATGTTGGTAGATGGCATCATCATCATCATCATCTTCCTGCCCTTGTCCCGTTTTATTTGAGGTCGGCGCAATATGTTTTTTCTTCCATTCTGTCCTGTCACTCGTCACGCTATCGCTAACTCACTACTTACTACTCACTACTAACTTACTACTCATGACTTTTTTTGTTACTTGCTTTTCATCCCTCCTTTTCACATGGCCATACCAATAGGTAATGTCGGTAGATGGCAATTTTGCCAAAAAAAATACCGTTTTTGAAAGATAAGGTGTTTTGTGTTCCAAGTGTCTTTTAGGAAGATAGGGGTCATTACGTCAGTAATCTGTGTAATCCCGGACATAATACCCCCATAATCTATGTCCGAACCGCGTTGAGCAAGCATTGATGATCAAACCTCGTACAAAATCATTTATTCCGATAAGACCCATACAGACATTTTTGAACGTCAAACAAAATTCTAAAGATAAATTCAGTCTGTCGATCAGTCCTCTTAGTAAAGCTATTTGGTGGTTCCAAAGTCTAGATTCCGATGTCGAAGAACGAGCAAGAAACTCCATGGTTACTCTTGTTAAATCAGTGTCACATAAAGATTTTTTGGTACAGTGTAAGAAAAGGCCTTTGCCTAGCAATGCGCATTTATGATGATGTGGGGACATCATACCGAAGTTGGGGATTAAAATTTGTGCAATCATTACAGTTGATTCTCTGCATTTCACCTACATTGAAATTTATAAGACTAGTTAGCGAATTGGCAGTTTACAGTTCTCCCTTAGAACTGATCTAGTCATGGACCGAGTTTAACCCCAAAACTGACTGTACGATAGCACCTTTTGATCTTATAAAACAAGTGGACCGTGTAATAAGTATGATCAACAAAGAGAAATGACAACTGTTACCTGCAAAGCTTTCTAACCAGTTAAAATTTTACAAAAGGAGTTGTCGTATAATGGTCCTTCGAGCCGGATGCCTTTCGACTGTTCTGTCTCGCTGGTCGTTGAGCCAAGGTCTCAACACTGAGGTCAGTTAATAGAGATATAATCTTAAAATCACCTGAGGGCAGACTTTTTCAGCTATCGACGGTTTTCGCATAATATTATCTGTACTAATATTATAAATGCGAAAGTAACGCTGTCTGTCTTTTTTTCACATAGTTTGGAGGAACTCGGGAAAGGACATGGGATAGTTTTTATAACCAAAATCTACAGGAAGTCAGTATTCCACGCGGTCGGAGTATCGGGCAAAAACTAGTATCGAATAAATCATTTACCATAGCAACACCACATTTTTTAACCCACAAATTGTGTATCCTCAGTTGTCCGGGGGCAGTGATGTTAGTGTTTACGTTGCCTAATGGAAAGACGCTGCTTCACACCGGCGACTTCAGAGCCTCGCCCATCATGGAGTCCTATCCTATATTCTGGAATAAGGATATTCATACTATCTACTTGGATACCACGTGAGTAATTTTTAAGTTTTATGTGAGACGGCACCAATCGAACAGCGGTATTACCTTAATTATTATGTTTTCGGCTTACTCACGTAAAAATTTGACGAGATACTCGACTAGTTTCGGAGAACTTGAGTAGCAGCGCGACAGTCGCCGAGTCGCGTGTCGCGGAATGCTTCTCATGAATATGGGCCTCTAGCATGGCTTGAAACTAGTCGAGTATCTCGTCTAATTATTACGTGAGTAAACCGAAAACATAATAATTAATTTAGAATGTCTCATGAAAGTTCTAATAAAAATATAGCGGTATTACCTGATGGTAAGCAATCGGCACTGCTCATGGACACCCTCAACACCAGAGGATCTGCAATTCTTTTTGGGGATAAGGGGTTCTGAAGATTTAGAGATTGGGGAGTAAAAGGCCTCCGGTAACTTACGCGGCGAAAACAAAGCTGTAGTTGTTTGGCGAAAGAAGTTAATCAATTCATCCAAGATTTTCAGAACACTTTTGAGGGGTTTAATTATCAAATGTCCTTCAAAGCCCACCACATTCCTGCTCCCCGGCTGGAAACCCTTCCACAACAAATTAGGGCAATCATTTTTCTACTTTTCTTCTTCTCATTCTTAAAGATACTGCAACCCCCGATACGACTTTCCGACACAAGAACAGAGTCTAGAGATGGCACTGTACATTCTGCGGCAGAAGAAAGTGGCGCTTGAGAAGGTTGGCAAGAAGTTCTCGTCCGTGCTCATCGTTTGCGGCACATATACCATTGGTGAGTCATTCTTGCAATCCGTTTTTTTATGGCAAACTAGCGGCCCGCCCCCGCTTCGCACGGGTCCAACTATCTCGCTATCAAAGGGTCACTTTTTCCAAATCTTCCCCTCGACTTTTCTAATATTTTCTTTGATAAGAACCTTCTCCTGACAATAACAAACACAACAAAAAAAAGAATTAGCAAAATTGGTCCAGGCGTTATTGAGTTTTGCGCTTACCAACACATTCTGCGATCCATTTTTATCTATATAAGAAGAAAAGCAGACGGATCATCTGACCACTCTGACAACACCAGAGGAGCCACAGGCTCTTTGGCACGTGTTCTTGAAGATTTGTACGTCGAAGATCATTCCAAAATTTGCCTGCTCGAAAATTGCACAGTTCAGTTCCCGACTTTGCATTCTCATTTTCATCACACTTGATGGCGCTTACCTAGTAAATGGTTAATGTCCAAACACTAAGTACAGTGCATGTGGGTTGTCAAAAATTTTACATCTAGAAAGAAAGAAAGAAAAACATTTATTTTCGCGCAAGCACACACACATAAAACAAAATACAACAAAAAAAGAAAATAAAATAATACTAAAAATCTAAACTTAATAAATGTATCATTTAGTTTAGATTTTTATAAAAATTTAATGACTTAAAAAAATTAATAACAAAAGAAAAAAAAACATCAAACATCGTCTATGGTCCACAGAGTATAACATTATGCGTGTTGTCGCGTGTATTTTTTATAATCTGTAGACCATAAGGACAAGAAAGTAGCATTTGTGTTTGTAACAAACAATCTCACAAACAATGTAATAACAAGAAACATATATTAATTTAATTTGATAATTTCCTCCTTACAAACGTTATAACAATATAATGTGGTACGAGCGCAAAAAAAGGACATGCTCAGCATTTGCTGAGACCCCAACCACAAGGGATTGGTGTCACAGCGCTGATTTTCAGCATATCCTTGTCTAATGGTTTTGATACAGAATTTCCTATTGGATGAAAAGGCGACAGGTATGGTGTATGTTTGTTTTTCTTTGACGCAAAAACGGCTAGACCGATTTGGTTGAAATTTGGTATGTAGATAGGTGATACCCTGAATTAACACATAGGCTACTTTTTATCGACTTACCACGCGGGCGAAGCCTTGGGCAGTAGCTAGTTAGTTTAATAAATAAGTTGATAATGAAATTAGTATTTGATAAAAAGACTTGGATATGATTAAAAGACTTGGATATGATTAAAAGACTTGGATATGATTAAAAGACTTGGATATGATTAAAAGACTTGGATCTTGAATACTTGACTTTAATATCACAGTACACAGTCGGGCAGCTCACTGCACCAGAGTTACATTGTCAATGGCCGACACGCTCTCGGCCATCTTCTTTATGGTGAAAGGATGACAATGACATTGACAGTTCTAGTGTGACTCTGATTAGTATTACTAATTACAGATAATACAACATAGATATCAAAGTTTATCTTCTTTATATAAATATAACTATCACTTACCCGCGGCGTCGCTCCCGTCATTTGACTACCTACTCTACCTACCCTACCTGCCCTACCTACCTTACTCTACCAACCCTACTCTACTAACCCTACCTACCCTACCCACCCTACTGTACCAACCTTACTCTACCTACCCTACTCTACCAACTCTACTCTACCAACCCTACACTACCAACCCTACACTACCAACCCTACTCTACCAACCCTACTCTACCACCGGGCACGCTACTATAGCAGCGGTAAGACCCCTCTTTGAGGAGTGGCTTGAGAGACGCCACGGCGTCCTCACCTTCCGTCTGACGCAGGTGCTTACCGGGCACGGCAGCTTCGGTAGGTTCCTGTTTCGGATTCAGCGGGAGGAAACGCCCGAGTGTCGTCATTGTGAGGACCACCTAGAGGATACGGTGGAGCATACGGTAGCGGTATGCCCTGCCTGGGCTGAGCACCGCCGTATCCTCAGGGAAGTGATCGGCGGCGGCGTCCTCTCGCGCCCGGCCTTAGTCGAGGCCATGGTGCGGAGTGAGAGGAACTGGGACGCCGTCTCCTCCTTTTGTGAAGCAGTCATGCTCGCAAAGAGAGAGGCGGCCCGCGTGAGGGAGCAATCCTCCTCCTCACGCCCCAGCAGCCGCAACTGGCGACACTACGGGCGTCGGGGATCGAGGGACGATCTCCGGCCACCGTAAGCACGGGCCTGCGGTCGGCGAGTAAGGGCAGCTCGCCGCCCGACCAGAACCAGGCCCGAGCGTACGGCGCGTAGCGTTCCGCGCGCGCCTCAAAGAGCCATTCGACCACCACAGACGGGGCCCTAAAGGGCTGATGTTCAGCCGGGGTTGCGGGGTAAGCGCAATGAGGTACCGCGACCGCGGCACAGAGCAGGAGAAGGAACAGGGGGGTTTTTAGTCAGTAAGAGTCTGACACTCCCTCCTGCCCGGCCCTGGGCGGGAGAAGTCATTTGATGATTTTCCCCTCACAAAAAAAAACCCTACTCTACCAAACCTACACTATCTACTTTATCCTATGTCCTTCTTCTGGCTCTAAACTACCTCCCTGTCAATTTTCAGCTTAATCGGTTCAGCCGTTTTTGAGTTATAAGTGGAGTACTTAGAATCTATCGGCCTTATTACAAAACAAGGTTTTAGTTTAGTCTAGGACTAAACCATTGAGCCAGTTTTTGTATTTCGAATTGACGGTAGATGACAATGTAGGGGGTAATCTTTGGAACCGCTGGTCGGATTTCCAAAATTCTTCATTGATAGATAGCTACAATGTTCCTGAAAGGCTATAAAACATCGCGCTACAACTAAATGGAGCTGAGCAGCGGGTGTTACCGCGCGAGCGTAGTTAGTATAAAAGAAAGTCGTGTTAGTGTCAGAATCTATATTATACTTCATCGGACATCGACTTTCTTTGTCGATGTACGATGTCATACAACTCATCCTAAACGGCTTGACTGCTTTAAATGTTTTTTTTTGTATGCGTTTGAGTGGTGCCTTGGATGGCTTGGATTATTTTAGATTCACAAATCAGCCTGGTAGATGGGGCTTTTTTTTTGAGAGGGGAAAATCATCAAATGACTTCTCCCGCCCAGGGCCGGGCGGCAGGGAGTGTCAGACTCTTACTGACTAAAAACCCCCCTGTTCATTCTCCTACTTTAGGCCGAAGTCGCGGTGCCTCATTGCGCTTACCCCGCGACCCCGGCTGAACATCAGCCCTTTAGGGCCCCGTCCGTGGTGGTGTGTTGGCTCTTTGAGGCGCTCGAGCCTGGTTCTGGTCCGGCGGCGAGCTGCCCTTACTCGCCGGCCGCAGGCCCGTGCTTACGGTGGCCGGAGATCGTCCCTTAATCCCCGACGCCCGTAGTGTCGCCAATTGCGGCTGCTGGGGCGTGAGGAGGAGGATTGCTCCCTCACGCGGGCCGCCTCTCTCTTTTGCGAGCATGAATGCTTCGCAAAAGGAGGAGACGGCGTCCCAGTTCCTCTCACTCCGCACCATGGCCTCGACTAAGGCCGGGCGCGAGAGGTCGCCGCCGCCGATCACTTCCCTGAGGATACGGCGGTGCTCAGCCCAGGCAGGGCATACCGCTACCGTATGCTCCGTATTCTCTAGGTGGTCCTCACAATGACGACACTCGGGCGTTTCCTCCCGCTAGATCCGAAATAGGAACCTACCGAAGCTGCCGTGCCCGGTAAGCACCTGCGTCAGGCGGAAGGTGAGGACGCCGTGGCGTCTCTCAAGCCACTCCTCAAAGAGGGGTCTTACCGCTGCTATAGTAGCATGCCCGGCCCTTGGTTGCGACAGTCGCTGCTTCCACTCAGCCATGAGATCTCGCCGGAGCTCATTCCGCCACGCACTAATTTGGTGCGGCAGAGGAGCCCCGGCGACGCGCGTCTGCGCGCAAACTGTAGACGGGCGCGAGCGCCTTCGCTTCTAGATCCCACGGCGGTGATCCGGCAAGGAGGTTCGCCGCCTCCCCGGAGATCGTGCGATATCTGCGGATTATTCGGATGGCCATGACCCTCTGAGACGCGACCAGCGTACGAGCCGGCCGCCGCTTCAAGTCCGGCGCCCACACAGGGGCACCGTAGAGGGCCATGGATCGCACAATCCCCATATACAACCTCCGGCAGGAGGCGTTTGGCCCCCCGAGGTTGGGAAGGAGCCGCTTGAGCGCGGCCCCAGACCGTTCCAACTTAGGGGCCAAACGACGAAAATGCTCCGTGAAGGTCCATCGGCTGTCGAGGACGAGACCCAGGTACTTCATCGCCGACTCGACGCCGACGGTAACTCCTCCTGCCGTTATTTGGGACCCACCTGGAGGTGGCGCGTTCCGACGGCCATAGAAACACATGGCCTCGGACTTGTGGAGCGCCACCTCGAGTCCTAACTGCCGGATCCTTGCAACGACTATCGCAACCGCTTGTGACATCAGGTCGGCCGCCGCCTGATGCGACCTCCCGTTCGCCAGCACCAGCGTGTCGTCAGCATAACAGACAATGCTGACGCCGCTCGGGATAGTGGTGCGTAGCACCTAATCGTACCCGATGTACCACAGGAGAGGTCCCAGGACCGATCCCTGTGGAACACCGCGCGACACCTCTCGCCGATTCCACACGCCCCGGTGACCGGGGTAGATGACGCGTCTGTCCGTCAATGGTAGATGGGGCTGATTGCCTGAAAAAGCGTGTGATCTCGGAAACGGCTCCAACGATATGTGGGGTTTTTCGAGAGGGTCCACTAGTCTCTTTATAATAATCTATATAATTATAAATTAACTTTGGTTAAAACTTTTATGGGTGTACGTGTATGCAGGTAAGGAGAAGTTCTTCCTGGGCATGTCCCGTCGCGTGGGGTGCGCGGTGTGGGCGTGCCCCGAGAAGGAGCGCGTGCTGGCGGCGGTGGAGGCGCGCGGGCCGCCCCGCGCCGCGCCCCGCGACTGCCAGCTCCACGTCGTGCCCATGCGGGACCTCACGCACGAAGTAACTACCTTCTTTTCTTTTTTTGTCAGGGAAAAATCATCCAATGACTTCTCCCGCCCAGAGTAAGGCGAGAGGGAGTGTCAGACTCTTACTGACTAAAAACCCCCCTGTTCCTATTCCTTCTCTGGGCCGAGGTCGCGGTGCCTCATTGCGGTTACCCCGCAACCCCGGACGAAGTAACTACCTAACTTCACCTTTTTTGAAAGTTTATCATGATATGATACAGGGGCAAACTCGCAAACCCGGAACACCAAATTTTTTTTGTGATATGTCGGCAAACGAGCGGACCGATTACCTGATGGTAAGCAATCAACGCCGCCCATGGACACCCGCAACAGCAGAACAATTTTATTAAGAGTGCGTTATTGCAAGTTGAGTTGGCGACCCATTCGGTTTAGACATGTCTGCCAACCCTGTAGAACACTGTCAACACTGTGTGTTCTGCTGTCTGCCAACACTGTGTATATGATACTGTATATTTAGCGTATTTTTGCTTTTCTGTCTTTTTAACCTTTTTATTGTTTTTTGTGTTGTATTTTTGTTTTGTTCTGGCTTTCATGTCTGATGCCGAATAAATGCATTTTCTTTCTTTCTTTCTTTCTTTCAAGTGCGTTTGCGACATTTTGGGAATTGGGGATTTGGAATCTCTTTATGTACCTAATTGTTGTATTATTTTTCTTGTCCAACTTACTGTGTGTACATAAATTATTAAATAAAAATTAATAAAATATGATATTAGTATAGATTTTGCGTATTTTTGTTCAACCTTTTTATTGTTGACTTTTTGTGTTGTATTTTTTTTGGTTCCGGCTCTCATGTCTGATGCCAAATAAATGCATTTTCTTCTTCTATCTTGCCGAGAATATTCAAGTTGATTTTAACAATAACAATCATATTATAATCTACTATCATTCAAATACATATCTCAGAGAATTTACGCCATTTTGCAAAAAAAAATTATAATCTGTTGCAAAATGGCTGACAAATAAATTGTTATAATGTATTTGAATTGTAACAGAAACTGCGCAGCTACCTGGACAGTATGAAGGGCGCGTTCTCTGAGATAGTGGCGTTCAAGCCGAGCGGCTGGGAGAATGGCAAGTCCAGCAGCATCGAGAAGGATATGGTCACCATACACGGTACGTTTTTTAGGGCTGATTTTTCAATAGTCACATAAATGTTACCCGAGGAATAAAATACGGTAGTGTCCAACTAGTCAAATTAAATACTTTTATCCAGACGTCAAAAACTATGCTTTTCTATGAAATTTGTTATTTGAAATTTGGTATTTCTTCATAATTAACTAAAAAATCTAAAACTTAGTGTATCGATCGATTGATGAATAAAAGTAGTCATTTTTCAATATTTAATTGTATTGAAACGTCGAATTAATTTATTTTTGACCTAGGAAACTACCCAATTGTTGCTGTCACTGTCTTATACAAACATTCTGACGCGATAGCATCATAATTATTCCCCAGATAACTTGCATTGAATCTAAACATTGAAAAATCAGCCCTAAACTCTATAAATTTGAACATTAATATGTTGATGTCCTCGTCAGAAAGCGAGGCTTGTTTCGTCTGTAGACCATCCTTGCTCGTGGAGTAAATACGTTCAACTTGCTGCAGAGCAGCTTTCTCACTGACACCCGCGCGCTAAATAGTGACAGTTCGCGCGCTGTAGGACTTGTCAATCGTCGCAGACGTTCATGTCAGAACCTTGTCAGAACGTGTACCTGTGTTAAAATAACGATTTTATCGGACTTAGGGAATTTTAACGGAAGTTAACAAGTAGTAATTTTTAAGTTAACTTAGAAGTTAATCCGGTACTCGAAATGTTAACTTTTTTTATGTAATTGGTCGGCAAACGAGCAGACGGATTACCTGATGGTAAGCAATCAGCGCCGCCCATGGACACCGAGTTACGAGTGCGTTGCCGACCTTTAGGGATTAGGGATTTGGAGATTTAGGGATTGAGGAGGGATTGGGGGCGGGGAAGGATTGGGGATTGATTAACTTCGTTAATTAATGCCCAGCTATGTGTACAGATGTCTGCATCACTAAAGAAATTGGTTACCGAGTGTGTTGCCAACGTTAAATAAGTATATTGTTTTGTCACAGGTATACCGTACAGTGAACATTCAAGTTTTTCGGAGTTGATTCGGTTCGTGAAGTTCCTGAAGCCGAAGCAGGTGGTGCCCACTGTCGACATCTCCGGCGGAGTCAGGGCCGTACAGGTACTGTGACACTATAACTACTATGTACTATACAATGTTACATACATTACAAAGGGGGGGAAGGGGGGGATTATGGGGGCGTTATGTCAAGTCTGAGCACCGCCGTGTCCTCAGGGAAGTGATCGGTGGCGTCGACCTCTCGCGTCCGGCCTTAGTCGAGGCCATTGTTCGTAGCCAGAGGAATTAGGAAGTCGTCTCCTCTTTCTGTGAAGCAGTCAGGCTTGTAAAGGAGTTGTAGCGAATGGGAAAACTACTATCCTTGCATCACTTGATGATGACCCCCTCCGTCAAAAAGGGAGGCCTCAAGTTTTTGTGGCTTTTTCGGTAATACTCTATCGGCACCGCCCGTTACTGAAGGATGAGCAACCGTAACACCACAAAGTTAAGGCTAGTTCACGCAGGACGGTGCCGTGTACGGCCCGTGAATGAATGATGGCCGGCGACGAAATGTCGACATACATTTATCATAATATATCGATATTAAGTGTGGGAGAGCCATGCTTCGGCACGAATGGGTCGCCTCGACCGGAGTGATACCACGGCCTCACGAAAAACCGGCGTGAAACAACTACAGCGTTGTTTCGCCATGTGAGTGAGGTTACCGGAGGCCCAATCCTTCCACTCCCCCAATCCCTAATAGGTCGGCAACGTACTCGTAACTCCTCCGTTGCGGGTGTCCATGGGCGACGCCGATTGCTTACCATCAGGTAATTGGTCAGCTCGTTTGCCGAAATATGACATAAAATTAACAATGTTGGCCCATACAATGTTATTTCTTTTCAGAAATACTTCCCCTGCCCGCTGGTACATAAGGAGGAGCTTCAGTGCCAGAGCAAGGTGACGGACTTCTTCAGCATACAGAACCAACAAAAGGTGCCGGCCGTCACCTGAACCAAAGGTACGAGCATTTGATATTAATCGTAGTATTTTTTTTTATTTGGATAGCCAACACGATAATGCCTATTTTTATTATGGAATGAAAATTCATCTAGTGAGTTTTCCTGCCAGGGTGTGGGATTTTAGGCTTTTTTATTTGATAGGTTGGTAAGCACGAGTTATAAATATTGTGCCACCCTTTTTGTAGTTTTACTTTTAGATTCTAGGATGAAAGAAGGAGGATTTTGTAGGTTTTTTACGGACACAAAATCACCCTGTACCTACTCGTGCTTCGAGCCAAGTTGCAGTTATTTATATGGCGGCCTAGCTACGACCCTGTAGGGAGGCAAATATCAAACTAACATGTCTGTAAAGATTGAGGAGCCACGTCTGATTTCATCATTATTTAGCAGTAATGTAGTTAATTTTATTATCATTTTTGTATACTGCCTAAAGCTACATAAGCGCCATCTAGGTAACGCAAAATGTTAATTGTAATGTGTATTTGTTTCAGATGTGTTCTGGATGATTTATCTAAGTTGCCACTACTTCACCAGTCTGTGATTTTTTGATATGATATTATTGTATATTAGGTTACTATTTATAAAAAGTTGTTCGATTTATATTAAACATTATTCAAATAAGCTACTTTTTAATTATTTTACTTTATTACTTTTAATATAACCGTTTTCTTTCTATTCATTGTTTGTTTTCGTAGTTAATTTTTTTATACTATAGAAATTGTTTGGTAGTGAATCACATCAAGTTGGCCTGTTACGTACCAGCCAAAATCACAGGGTAAAATGGGGCAAAGCAGCTGCGGGAAATCTCGGGAGCGAGTCAGAGAGTGCCGTCGCTACCTTCTGCGAGGCCGTGATGCTCGCAAAGGAGGCGGCGGAAAGGGAGAGGCTGCCTCCTCTCTTCCCTCCCGCAACAGACGCACTAGACGTCGAAGGGTGGCCGACCTGCGGCCGACGACAGACTCGGGGCGTCTAGTGGACCGATACCCATCGGGGGTTGCGACGAATATTTCGATGATACCCTCCGACACATTAGGTTGGTTTTTAGTCGGCCAAGAGGGCGGCGGGCCACCATATTTAAAAAGAGTAACCATGGAGTTTCTTGCTCGTTCTTCTCCAACGGAATCTACACTTTGGAACGAGCAAATAGCTTCACTAAGAGGACTGACCGACACACTGACACTTCAAAACATCTTCAAAATTTTGTTTGACGTTCGAAAGTGCCTGTAAAGGTCTAATTGGAATAAATGATTTTTGACTTTTTTTTTGACTTTAAGGATTTGGAAACGCGATATCAAAAAGAAGAAGGGGAGAACGTGTCAAGTGTAAAACAATTCTCCATTATTCACTCAGTTCTGTTTTAAGACGGTTACTTTATTAGCTAAGAACAATTAAACGATGAAGGCTACCTCTCTCAAATGGCTTCTTCTAAGTAGATATGGTTTATGTCACCTGTGTAACCAATTCTACAAGCTAGGTTATGTTCATAACAGGTAACCATGTAATAAAATAAAACACCAAATTAAAGCTAAAAACAGTATATTTATGCAGTTACACAAGTATGTACTAAATTATGTTGAGTGGGTTGTCACAGCTTCGTGCGCCGGCGCAGGTCTGCATGCGCGACAGTATGAAGCTGTACCAGTGCCGCACTGCTGGGAATACGTCGTTCACTGAGTTATGCAGCTCATACGGGTCGCGGTTCAGATCGTATATTTCTACGAATTCCTGAAAAAAGGCGTTTATTTTGTAGTTTTTAAACATTAGTATCCATATTATTAGATATATGATATGCATTTTGAAATGAGTTTTACATAGTCAAAAATATTCCGATGAATAGAGGTTAAATTTATGTTGACGTGTAAAAGTAGTATTTTGCCCATATACAAAAAAAAATAATTTCAATTAAAAAAATACTCGTAACTTGGAGTATTTTTTCATTTAAAACATTGTAACAAAAGGAACTGCCTGGCTATTAGTAAGTCTCGCTAAAAGTATGAAACGTGTGTGGAAGTTCAGAAAACATTTAAATGACAAGTAAATATGGACAAATTGCGGTTAAAAATACTTATACAACAAGGTTATTTTCCGTATATAAACTTCTACTAAACTTCCTCACAAACATCAGGAGGAACCCCAGCACTGGCTTCGTGCACCAAGCTGTACTGACGCCTACTCCTACCTTTATTTTGTTACGCTGTATGTAAACTTTGACTGCACGGTTGGCTGGGCAAATAGCTGCCGCACAACGCGTCACGGATTCAATTCCCGCACGGAACAACTCTTTTAGACATCCACAAATTGTTGTTCCGGGCCTGGGTGTGATGTGTATGTGAAATTGTATGTTTGTAAACGCACTCACGACACAGGAGAAACTCTAAGTGGGGGGCAACGTTTAAAAAATATTGTGGCAGATTGAAAAAAAAATATTACCTCAAGATCAGCAAACTCGCAGTACTTCATGTTAATTCTGTCAGCGAAGTGGTGAAGACACGTGTATGTGTTATTGCGAGCGTCCTGGCACTTGCACGCGTACTGAGGATAGCACTCCTGGAAATACAACGTTACGCTTACATTAATTACAATGTGGGAGAGCCAAGCTTTAGCGTGAATGGGTCGGCTCGACCGAAGTGATACTGCGGCCTCACAAAAAAAAACCGGCGTGAAACAACTACAGCGTACTATTACGAAGTTACCGGAGGCCCAATTCTTGCCGATCACTCCGCAATCCCTAAATCTCCGAATCCCTTATCCCCAAAAGGTCGGCAACGCTTCGAAACTCCTCTGTTGCGGGTGTCCATGGGCGGCGCCGATTGCTTACCATCAGGTAATCCGTTTGCCGACCTATCACATAAAAAACAACAAACGAAAAACTCGAAAACGAGCTCCTTAGGCAACTTCAGGGCCGGCAATGCGCCTATGATTCCTTTGGTGTTGCAAATGTTTTTGGACGACGCTGATCATTTAGCATCAGGTAATCCGTCGGCGCATTTGCCTCCTACTCCATAAAAGAAAATGCAGAAATACCTATATGTAATTTGTGATTTTTTTTCAAGCTCTGCATTTTGTGAGTCTTTCCGAATCAGATGTAGGTACTTTCTATGATTAACTAGCGGCCCACCCCCGCTTCGCACGGGTCCAACTATCTCGCTAACAATGAAAGGCTCCTTTTTCCCCAATTTTCCCCTCTACTTTTTAAATATTTTCTTTAATAAGAATCTTCTCCTGACAATTATAAATACAAAAGAAAAGGATTTGGCAAAATTGGTATAGCCGTTTGTGAGTTATGCGCTTACCAACACATTTTGCGATTCATTTTTATATTATAGATTAGAGACCACTGATATAAAGTGAAGGAGAATGTGAGATTATTGTGAAATGCTATGGACTGCTAGACTTGATATTTAAAAAGTCAAAAAAGTAAAAAATCATTTATTTCAATTAGACCACAGTAGGCACTTTTGAACGTCAAGCAAGCAAAAATGGAAAAAAGTATATAATATGAGCTTTAAAATTAAGCGTGTCAGTCTGTCCGTCCGTCCTCTAGTGAAGCTATTTGCTCGTTCCAAAGTGTAGATTCCTATTTAGAAGAACGAGCAAGAAACTCCATGGTTACTCTTTTTCAATCAGTTTTACAATACATTTCTTTGTTACATAATTTAGTCGGTTCTGATATGTGAGAACAATGTAACACTAATGTTCAGGCAAAAAGTACGAAAAAGAAGTGAACCTCAAGGACAACATATTTAGACAGCCTGGAGATGACCAGTCCCAATTGGCGGCGCCCGTTCACGAACATGACACGTACACCAGCATCGCCCAACTCAACCATATTATAGGGAATTGGGCGATCCAGTGCCCGTCCCACCGCCAATGAGACCTCTGAGTGAGCATGACAGCTCCCAGCTGACACAAGTACCTATATTCTACAAGTCTTACTTAATTATAATAGGTTACAGGGTACTCACATTTACAAAAACTTAGAAGTTCATCAAAAATTAACAACATTGTGTACAATTTAATAATTAAAATCAAAAATTCCTCTAAACATCCTGTGGAGTAGGACCAGCTAGCCTCCAAGCATTTTTATCTTGTATATAATCATTTAGTTTGTAGTATGCTAGTTTACATAAATGTTTCTTTATACATAATTTAAATTTGCTTTCATTTAGATTTTGAATTTCAACTGGGATTTTATTATAACATTTAAAACAGAAACCCAGAAATGACTTATGCACTTTTGCCAATCTAAATAAAGGCTGACTCAATCTATTCCTATGTCTAGTATGATAATCATGTTTGTCAGATACCTTTACAAATAAGTGTAGGTTCTTCCTAACATACATAATGTTTTCATAAATAAATTGACTCGGTACGGTCAGAATGTTGATCTCCTTAAACTTTTCTCTGAGAGATTCGCGACGACCTAAGTTATATATGGCTCTGACGGCACGCTTTTGCAAGATAAAGATAGACTCAACGTCGGATGCCTGTCCCCACAACAGAATTCCATACGACATGATGCTGTGAAAGTAGCTAAAGTACACTAGTCTTGCCGTGCCTACATCGGTTAGCTGACGGATCTTCCAGACAGCATAAGCTGCAGAGCTCAATCGTCCTGCTAGAGACCTGATGTGGGGCCCCCATTGCAACTTCTCATCTACAGTGATCCCTAGGAAAGTAGTCTCTTTTACAAATTCTAGTTTCTGATCATTTAATAATATATCATCACATAGGTTACTTTTAACATTTGGTAAAATAAATTTAATGCATTTAGTCTTTTTATCATTTAGTAATAAGTTGTTTATTGTAAACCAATTTTGAACCTTCATTAAGGCATTATTAACTTCGTCATATTTGTTTGTTCGTCTATTTATTTTAAAAATCAATGAAGTGTCATCAGCGAATAATACCATATGCGGTTCATTTTGGAACAAATGGGGCAGGTCATTCACATAAACTAAAAATAGAAAAGGACCTAATATTGAGCCCTGCGGTACGCCCATAGATACGCTAGCACCCAGTGAGTTAACTTTGTTGACTTGTACTTTAATTTTTCTTTCTTGAAGGTATGATTTCAATAAATCTAGGGATACCCCCCGAATGCCGTAGTGTTCTAGCTTCAGTTACAGCGTCTCGTGCTCAACACAGTCGAATGCCTTTGAAAGGTCGCAAAATATTCCGATGGCATCCTGTGCTTTTTCCCACGAGTTGAAAACTTGTTTTATAAGTGATACTCCTGCGTCCGTAGTGCAACGTCCTTTGGTGAACCCGTATTGATGGTCATGGAAAATAGAATTCGTGTTAAAGTGACGCAGCATTTGAGTAAGCATCAACCTTTCAAACACTTTACTGAGCACTGGCAAAATAGAGACCGGCCTATAGTTATTAGGTTCTGTACTATCGCCTGATTTAAATAATGGAACTACTTTACTATGTTTCATTAAATCCGGGAAAACCCCTTTATCTACACTTTTCTTAAAAAATGAAAGTTAAGTGCGGCGCAATAGTCTCTATAAACGACCTGCACACTCGAACAGACATTCCCCAAAGATCTTCAGTTGACTTTACTTTGATCTCATTGAACGCCTTTATTACTGCCTGGGGGGTTGTGTATTGAAAGCTAAAGTCAGAAGGACATTCTTTGACGTTACCCCTGAGAAGCTCGACAGAAAGAGCTGGAGATGATTTTAACGTTTCCGTAGTTTTAAGAGGAATATTTTTAAAGAATCTTTCGAATTCCTGGGCAACTGACGAATTTGAACTAGTATATCCCTTTTCGGTTTTTAAATTAAATTCAGTGTTTTGTGATTTATTTCTACCTGTTTCTTTATTAATTATATTCCAGGTAGCTTTTATTTTGTTTTCCGCGGTCCTGATTTTATTACTAATGTGGAGCGACTTAGCATGTTTACATACTATTTTAAACATTTTTGAATATTTGGAAACGTGTCTGCGAAAAGCCTCGCTACTATTAAATGGTTTTAGGCCGTATAGCTCAAATAACCTGTCTCTACTTATACGAATACCTGGTGTAGCCCAGTCAGAGAATACAAATTTACACTGAACATTTTTACGTATTAAAGGAAATAGTTTATCGAACTGTATTTTTATAATGGATAATAAATTAGCATATATCTCACTCGGGCAATTATTGTCTTGTACTTGGCTGCATAATTCATGTTTTAGCTTATTATTTAATGAATAAATTTTTTTGGTATGTGATTTGTCTAAACAATATTTCCTTTTTTGGCACAGTTGTTATAGTATTAAAGTTAACTGTGAGCCCACTGTGATCAGATGGTAATCTATTTACAATTTCACTTTGTAAATAATCACAGTTACAGAAAATATTATCTATACAAGTTGCCGAGGTGGATGTTACTCGGGTGGGCTCAAGGAAAACATTAGACAAATCAAATGATTGAAAGAGACTTAACAAGTTTGTACAATGAGAATTGTTTATTTATGGAATAGTCTGGCCAATAGATCTGTATTGTTAACATGGTTGTTATTATTTAGTACAAAACTTATTCGGTTCTCGCTGTTTGTCCGTATGTAGGTCAGGATCTCTAAAATTAAGTAACTGATTATGATGCGGTTTTAAAAATGTTTCAAGAAGCAGTTTTTGGGTGTATAATTTATGAATGTTAGCGGATTAAGCTGCGAAGTACCTACTTCTTAAGAAATAACGTTTTTTTTTGTTTTTGGAACACCAGTCTGTGTAAAGGCCTACTATAGATTGTTCCAATAATTTATATTATTTGTTCTTCTCCGTTTCTTTTCTTCGGTTTTCCTCTTCCGTCGACTTATCAAATCTTTGGACGGCACAAAATGACTATAAAAAACACAGAAAGGAAAAGGTATGAAAATGAACTAGGTGAGCCTTCTGCTATCGTGGTGGGCCCGCAGCTTTAAGGCACCAGTGTATCATGCATGAGTGCGCGGTCCATAAAAACCTGGCACGTAATTGCTCAGGTTTTTGGCCCGAATCAAGTACCAATGTGACTTTTTGCAAGTTATATGCACTTTCTACGTTACTTGTTGTTGTTGTGGAGTTGGCCCGGAGGTTAAGGTCTCATGCAGGAGGTTGCGGGTTCGAAATCTGGCAAGTACCAATGTGACTTTCCGAGTTATATGTACTTTCTATGATTATTTAGACACCAGTGACACACGGTAAAGGAAAACAGCGTGAGGAAACCTGGACTTATAATTATCAGTTAATTATCAGTTTCAAATCGCAAATCCACCGTAAGCAAGCATGGTGATTGATGCTCAAACCTTCTCCGTGAGAGAAGAGGTCTTTGTTCAGCAGTGGACACTTATAGGCTGATGATGATGATGATTATCCCCCTGGTATTGCGTGCGTCTATGAGTGGCGCGAATCACTTACCAACAGGTCATCCGTTGCCGTCATTGGTATCCCATTAAAAAATATTTCGAACACAACTCCATGGACATGTGTATTATCGACAGTATTCTAAAATTGAAAATTTCAATATTACTTTACTCGACCATATACAAATAATATTAAAGTTATGGTTATGTATATAAGGATTGAATAGCCACTTTGCTCGCTTTGCACTTTGCTCTCTTTGGCACGCGATCTTCGGTGTAAAACATAAACGGCCTTACACAAAACAATATTTATCTTTAGTCTAGTACTAAACCATTGAGTAGTTTTTGTATTTCAAATTGAAGGTAGGTGAGAATAAGATTCAAAATATAAAAAATTGACTCTTTGCAATAATGTATTGAGGCTCCGGTTCGACGCAGGAGAGAACAGGGTGGTTTTTTAGACAGTAAGAGTCTGTCACCCTCTCCACTGTCGCTACACCTAGAGCGAGAAAAGATATTTGATTATTCCTCCCTCTTTTTTTTGTAAAAATCATCTAATGACTTCTCCCACCCAGAGTAAGGCGAGGGACAGTGTCAGACTCTTACTGACTAAAAACCCCCCTGTTCATTCTCCTGTTCTGGGCCGAGGCCGCGGTGACTTATTGCGCTTACCCCGCAACCCCGGCTGAACATCAGCCCTATAGGGCCCCGTCTGTGGTGGTCTATTGGCTCTTTGAGGCGCGCGCGGAACACTACGCGCCGTACGCTCGGGCCTGGTTCTGGTCGGGCGGCGAGCTGCCCTTACTCGCCGAACGCAGACCCGCGGCTCTAGGTGACCGGAGATCATCTCTCGATCCCCGACGCCCGGAATGTCGCCTACTGCGATTATCCACCACCCTCATGATTCCTCTCCCTGCGAGCCATACCTACTATAGGATGGACCGGTTCAACCGGAGTGAAAGGGCCTTACAGAGTACCGAAGTAAAACTATCTTAGTTTCCTCTGGGGTTACAAGTGGTCTGGACCCCTATCCATAACACTATCTATACAAATATGCTTGTAACAACTATGGTGGAACGTCCTTATCCCATAGAAAATTAAACATGTATAGTGAAACTCACCGCAAGGCGATTGCCATCATACTTCCAAGGGCACGACTCGGCAACGGAGCTGTCGCGACCCTCGCCGTGGTATTCCACCAGCATATACCTGTAGATAGAGACATAATAATACATTATTACTACTTAAGGAGCCGAGCACAGGTGTATAATAAGACGTTTTCCAACACACTTCTGAATAAAATAAAGCTTTTCGCGTTTAACCCAAAAAGAACATCATTTTTTAGTTATGACTGATGCGCGCGCATAGGAATACTGATATTTTTTTCCCGCCATTACGAAACTGTTTTTCACAACTCGTCTCGTTTTCTCTTTTGAAGTTTTTATTTAAATATTATTTTATTCAAAAAATCTCATTATTTTTACTAAGAAAACCTTAATCGTGTATAACATTTTTGTGCCAACCATTGCTTGATTTTTACTTTAAACAATCTTAATGGAAGTTCTCTGATAGTTTAGGTATTTTATTAAAGATTTTTATACACATCAACATACAATTACTGAAGAGAACACATTACCTTTCTCGCTGTTCCTCCTTGGGCCCAAGCAGCTTAATAGGTCTTCCATCCATATGCTCCGGAGGCTGTATCCCCGCGAGCTGAAGTATAGTTGGCGCGAGGTCCACGTTCAGCACTGGCGCCGAGCTGGTGGAGTTGGGAGTGATGCCTGGACCTCTGATGAGGAGGGGCACCTTGGTATCTGACTCATACGGTTGACGCTTGTCATATACTTGGGAGAATTGACCTGGATACAAAAGTATTTATGGAATTTTTGTTAGGATTTTTTAAAAATATTAATAATTAATATTTTCTAAGGAGTTGTTAGAGATCCAGAATCAGCGAATTTGCCGCGAAACGTTAGTGAGATACTCATCAATACATCACGACTAGAAGCATTGAGCGAGAATTCAATTTTGCCATAGTAGTAACTAGTAGTAATAAAATTAAAACGAATGAATATAGAAAGATAGTTTTTTTATGTAATAGGTCAGCAAACGAGCAGACGGATTACCTGATGGCAAGCAATCTGCGCCGCCTATGGACACCCGCAACGGAGGAGTTACGATTGCGTTGCCGACGTTTTAGAGATTAGGGTTTTGGGGATTTAGGGATTGGGAGGGATTGGAGGAGGGGAAGGATTGGGCCTCCGGTAACCTCACTCACACGGCGAAACACAACGCTGTGGTTGTTTCACGCTAGTTTTCTGTAAGGCCGTGGTATAACTCCGGCCGTGGTTTCTTTGGGAAAGTTATCTGTTACCATCACGTGTTTAAAAATCTGACACTAATTACCAGTCACCCTATACATATCAATAAACTACAAGAATACATTGTAGTATGGTTAATTAATAAATAGTATACTTACCAATATGATATCCATTATCGGAAGTGTAGATTATGTAAGTGTTATCCAGTAGAGCTTGTTTCTCTAGCGCGCCCACTATGTCGGCGACCATCTCGTCTACCGCCAGTAGACTCTCCCAACGAGACCGGTAGACACGGTCTAACTCCGGTAGCATAGACTCCGGGAGGGGAGAGGGAGGCATTCGCATGAGCCAGTGTTTGTCCTGTATTTAAAATACACACACACACACACACACAATAAAATAAGTAAATAGAAAAATGTGTTATTAAAAAAAATTGATGTATTTACCTCTTGGATGTGGCAGGAAATTTTTAAACCCTTTTAAAACTAATGAACCAATTTCTGATATAGACGTGGTACAGATATAGTTTGTAAATCGATAAAAGACAGGGTGGTTCTTAAAAATCTGCAGGAGACTACTATTCCACACGAACACAACTTATAAATTCCAAATTCTAAAACTAATAAATAACAATACTTATAAATTACAAACGTACACATCACAAACAGAACCGGTAAAAAATGTGTGATAGAATGTTTATTAGAAAAAAAATTAAGAACGAAAAGTCGCAGTGACAAAAAAACTCAACCGAACAAAGCACTACTAATTCTGAAGAAAACACTATCCACAAAGTTACTCACCTCAGCAGGTACATTAAAGTTGGGATTTCGAACAGCTGTGACGTTACTGAACTTCCCTTCATGTCGGGGCGCTGGTGTGAAGGGTTGATGAGGAGCTGGTGGTGCCAATACCATCAAAAACGACTCCTGATCAGTCTGATTGTCTATGTAGCTCACTCCTAACTCCCGCTGCAAAAATATTAGGTGCATTTCATTTTTGCGTTTCACAGATGGCGCTTACGTAGGTTAAGGGCGGTTGCAGAACGAGGCTCCAATTTTAATCTGCATTCTATTTTGTAAATAATACAGCAAACAAGCGACAGATTACAAAACACCCTCAACTCCAAGGAGTTATATGAAAAGAGTCAATAGACCACCACTGACAGGGCCTTACAGGGCTGATGTTCAGCCAGGGTTGCGGGGCAAGCGCAATGAGGCGCTGCGTCCACGGTCTAAAGCAGGAGAAGGAACAGGGGTCAGTAAGAGTCTGACACTACATCCCTAACCTGGGCGAGAGAAGCCATTTGATGATTTTCCACTGACAATAAAAAGGAGTTATAAGAAGTACATTGATTGCTTTTTAGGGGTTAGGAGTGTGCTTACCCTTAAGCACCATGTAAGCTTTTTATCACTGGTTTTCTTTAGAGGCTGTTGTATCGTTCGAGACGTCCAGTCATGCCGAAGCATGGCTCTCCCACGCTTAAATCTTTGTCATCACTATATTATACCTGCATATATAATAGCTGGTACAGGTTGTGCTGCAGTGATCAATTTATAAGGATTGGCGATTTTATTTATTTATAATTTGGTCTTTTAAACTTGAGCATTATGATATTGTCTGACCTTTTGTTAGGATACAATATAAAGAAGGGAGGAATTAATGATGCAAAAACAAAACATCATAGAAAAACATAGCAATTACCTATTTATACATACACCAATACGCCAAATCCAATTAGATATAATTAAGTAATTACTATAATATAATCCAATTAGATATAATTAAGTAATTACGCATAAAATACTTAAGCATAAAAAGTATATTATAACAGGTTTGTTAACCTCAACCAAAAACAGAGGTTAAAGTATCATAGCAGATAACATTTTTTTTTCTTTTAATCGTAAAGGTACTTGTACCAAAGTATATTATTAAATCAAATTTAAAGCCGCTTGCGTGGTAGGTTGATAGAAAACAGCTTTGGATTAAGACAATCCAGGGCATCACCTATCTTCATACATAAATTTAAATTTTTGCGTGGTAGAATAACAAACAGACATGCATCACCACAAACTTAGTCATTTGTAATATTAGTAGGATAGTAGTATTAGTAGGATAGTAGAATAATTGGGATAGTAAGATAAGTAGGAATAGTAGAATAAGACCAGTAGGATAGTAGGATTAGTTTTTTTTTTCTGTTATAGGTCGGCAAAGGAGCAGACGGTTTACATGTAAACCCGCAACATAAAAGAAGTTGTTGTCGAGTGCGTTGCCGGCCTTTTAGGGATAACCATCCACACTTAAGAAGTAGGATAAAAGGATCATTATAGGTTAGTAGAATAAGCAGGATTAGTAGAATCAGTAGTATTAGTAGGGTGATTAAGAAAGTAGGATTAGTAGTAAAGGAAGAATGTAGAATTAGTAGGATAAAGAGATTAGTAGGATTAGTGGAATAGTAGAACAGTAGGATCAGTAGGATAGTACGATAGTAAGATTAGTAGAATAGTAGGATTAGTAGGATAGGAGGATCAGCCGAATAGTAGGATCAGTTAGATACTAACATGCTCAAAAACTGTAGGTACTCACGATGACATCGGTAAGGTACTGATCAGTGGATACAGTGGGCACTCCGTTGTTGGATATGGTGTAGTTGTAGTATACTGAGTTGCCGACCAGCCCGTGCCACTCCGTCCAGCCGGGAGGCACCGCTTCTGGACCGCCGGTCTCTGGAGTGCCATACTGCGGACAATTATTGTCCATTATATTTTATGGCTATCGAATACAACAATGCATTGCGTGACTCGTATGTTACTCAGAAATTAATCGGAAAGTCACTGCGCCAAAAGAAAAAATATTTTTTTACAAATTAGTAAGCCAAAGCCACTCTTTTCTCTACAAACGTTGCCCCCTCACTAGAATGTTTTCCTGTGTCGTGTGTGACACAAACATCATATTCAGAACCGGAAAAGCAATTTGTATAGTTGTTCAGTGAGGCTTTCGAATCCAAGACACGTTGGGCATCTAATACGCAAATTTCTAACTCGGATATTACCTATTACCTTAATCATCCACTAAAACCCCAAATCAAAGTTAAGCGCGGAATAAAAAAGCATTCAGTATTATTGCCTTTATTATTTACATTAACTTACCTGATTCAAATACTTGCCAGCATAAAAAGTCTTATAACCAGCCTCTTTCAGAATGTTACCGAACGTCACATTTTGAACGGCTTCTCTCCAGAACAAACCGTTGCATCCTCCGAGCTCGCTGTTTGTGACTGTTCTGTGGTTGTGCTGGTACAGACCAGAGAGGAGACTGGCCCGGCTCGGACAGCATATCGGTGATGTCACGTACTGGAAAATGGAGTTATTGATGGGTGGTTTTTCGCACCAGAGTTGGCAGGCGTGATAATTAAAATAAAAGTGTCTTTATGTCCACCAGTGTTGCTAATAGAGAATATAAATTATGAAAATAAATGTGGTAATAAAACGTACACGGGTGGGCTTGAAATAAAAAAAATGTCCACTAATGGAGTCGAAATAAGTAGGTAAGCATTCTATCTATTTCTAGTTTTTTTAATTGGTGGTATTTTCATTATAATACTTTGGTGGCGTATGTAGTATAGCGTATGTAATGTAGCCTAAATATAGTGTGGCCGGTTCGAAATGCTAAGAATTCGATAAGTTCGTTAATTCGCTTATTCAGTATTTACTTTTTCTAAAGATACTTAACATGATAATATTTTTTATATTGTCCAAAGGGATAGGCAGAGGAAAACTCACTTTGCCATACGTCCAGATAGCGTTGCCAGGCGTCTGAATAAAGCCGGACATAGGTAGGCTTTTTGATTGCTAGTCCGGTCAAAATAATCGGTGTCCGGCCCGTCCGGCTTTTTACCTAAACTTTTCACAATCGAAACGAGAGAAACGTAACACCGAACATGGCTGGAGCGACGCAAAGACTTAGACTTATCTTTTAATTATTTCAATTTGGTACCGCGGCCTCATACCAGAGCAGGAGAAGGAACGGGGGGTTTTTAGTCAATAAGAGTCTGACACTCCCTCCCGCCCGGCCCTGGGCGGGAGAAGTCATTGGATGATTTTCCGTTGACAAAAAAAAACCTATTAATACTGAGATACAAAATCCTTAAGAATGTAGGGTGTCCGGCCTTTTTAGCCAAATGTCCGGCTAAACGTGCTGGTCTGTCCGGCTATAAGGCCTAGCGACCTGGCAACCCTACGTCCATATTAAGTTGCCTGTCGAGTGTCGAGCACTCTCGGGATCGATTCCCGAACTTACGACGATTACCTACCTGATAGTAAGCAATCGGCCGCGCCCATAAACACCGCAACAACACAAGAGTTACGAGATCGTTGACGGCCTTTTGGGGATTCAGGGGTTTCGGAGATTTAAGTATAGATTGGGGACACGATAAATTGTGCCTCCGGTAATCTCACTCAAACAGCGAAACACAACTCTGTAGGTAATTGATTCACACCGATTTGCTGTGACTGCTGTGAGGCCGTGGAGCCAACCCATCCGTGCTATTTCGAAGCCACAGATCCTTTTGTTTTTTAATCTGTGTTCGAGGCATGGTTCTCCCACACTTTTTGTAATATAATATATCAATAAGTATAGGTAAGTAGCAAGTACAAGTACCTAGTGAAAAGCGAGTATTATGATGGATGCATCTCTGCCTACGACTTCGGGGATAAAGATGCGTAATGTTAGTTTTAATTTAGCATTTTCCCGCCTTTTCCCAAGCGTATGTAACCGACCTACTTACTGTTTTCAAATTTATTCAAGTGTTTTATAGTTCCATAAAATTGTTATTGCAAACTTTATACCTAGTCTTTATTATGCAAATTTTAATATTACCTTTTTCATTTGTAAGGTTTCATATACTACTAACAACCATTCATAATTTAGCATAAGTACAATAAACTCATTATAATGTGGCAATTACGTGGTGCAGGTACTTGCCTGGAGTTCCGCCAATTGAAATTGTAAACTAAGCATGTAGATAAATACCTAGTATATCACTACATAGTATTAAAGACGCTTTTAGTGCCTATATCTCTATGTAAGTAACTACGCAACGGATTTTGATGCGGTTTCTAGGGGGTTGCTAGTTGATAATAAAGGAGGTACCTACTCTTAACATATTTTTTTTATTCTTACAACAATATTAGCACCTCAATACAAAATATCTACAAATAGTGGTTTATCCAGACAGAATATTATTATCTGTATTAAAATAAACATTACTTAGTAGGTACCTATTGCCAATTAAAGAATAAACGGTCCGTTATATTGTTATAGGTACTTAAATATTATTACCTATATTGTTTTCCTCATTCAAAGTATTCGAACTTTAAAATTAAATAAAAAATGCAAATATTTGAGACTGTTCTTCAAAAGCTGAGTAACTCACCGAGTTTGTAAACGTGACGCCTTCATCAGCAATAAACCGATGCACGTTCTTCATTGGCGTCTGAAATAAATAAATCAATAAAACAACAGTTTATTCCTAATTTATTTATTTGCACATCACTATCACTGTACTAACCATGCCACCCAACACAACATCCTGATCATCTGTCAACACCAAAACTATATTCGGCCTCTTTTGACAAACACTGACTCCGAGGAGTGAAAACAATAATAAATAATTTAACATTTTTTTATGAATAATTCTTAAACTTAGGAGAATAGAATTGATTGGAGATATGATGTGTCTACTGCGGCATTGCGGGCATTATCTCGAGCCCGGAGCACTCGCTCGCGATCACTACGCCGACTGCAAATATGCCCACACTCTTAACTAGTGACCTGAAAGATTAAAAAAATATAAACATTTTTGTACAGATTAAAAATACATAAACATTGTAGCACAGACAATAAATACATAAACAAAATTTATTATTACCTAACCACATCAACATTTTCTTATGAATAATATTATGTGGATAAAATAGAAGTAATAAAATAATGAAAAGATATACTTTTACAAAGAAACAAGAAGTGACATTCTTGATGGCCTATTTAAATTGGTAGGACTATATGAGTATTACAGCTAAGGACACTATATTGTAGCATCATAAATAATAACATAATAATTGATTTGACATTGACTTTGATATGTGAATATATAATTGAGTGTCCAGTTTTGTATACCTTATTTTTAAGTTTAGAAAACGAATTTAAGATAATTCCACATAATATGATTAAACATTATTCCTTTATAAACGGTTTTATTTTAAACTTTTAATTGGTAGGCAGAAGATCACAAAAATATTATCAATAATCATTAAACTAAATTTCATGCAGTTTTATGTGAAAGAATAAACTTTTGCATTTATATTATAGATATGTAGGATAAATACAAAAGTACATAAATGACAAATATTTTGCTTTCTGACAATTTATAAAAATATGTTATCTGTGGACATGCCTCTTGTTTAAATAACATTCTTAGATAAGGATGTCAATAACTGATAAGCCTAGTTATTATTACTCTCTATTATAACTACATAATTATACATAATGGTTAGTAGAAAAAAAAAGTCATTTATTAAAATAAAAATTAGCTGGTATCCTACACATAATATTTACTTGTGCAACTTAAATTGGTTATTTTCTCATAAATGTCCAAATTTATTTTTAAATCAATAAAATTTTGTAATTTAATCTAAAAGCTTTAGAATTAAGGTCTATTATGATAAGGTTACGTAAAATAAGGTGACAAGGTAAAAGTGTTACAAAGGACATTGATGTCTGCTTGGGGATTTGTAGGTTAATAATTTGCTAGCTATTTTTGGATCTGTTTTATAAATATAAGCTAACAAAATAGTTTTATCCAACTCTAAAAGATAAATAAGAGTATACATATGTATTGCCTGGAATCTAGAGATGTTTGGGTCAGTGGGTAGCATTAGGGGCGGATTTTGTCATTTCTTAATTGATTATTCAGGTATCAGCCGATATCATCTCAATAAATTCCTACCAAATAGACTCTAAAGTGTGAAGTGTGAGATTGGTACTGATTCTTGGATATGCTTTATTCAATACTATTATAGTTTAAATTGGTAGATTAAAGTTTATAAACTGACTGAAGAGTGAATCAAATAGTAATGGATAAGTTGTATCATAAAAAGATGTTGCAATAAAATATAAGAGAAATGAACTTAGAGATCTAAAACTATACTACCTATTTTGTTAATGAAACATAGGCTATAAGAGCGTCAACCTAAGCTCAAAATGATTTTGACAAAATATTTTCCGCTACAGCCAAGACGCGCCGATGTTTTTCTTTGAACTTTAAGTTGTTGTGTTGACATACATTACCTACCTTATTTTATTTTAGTACAAAATTTACATAGAGATAATTAAGTTGTTAAAAACAGTTGGTAGCAGGCTATTGAAATTAGATTATTATGGAAAGAGAAACAACAGCGCCATATTTTCAAAAGAGGTTATTTTTCTTTTTACTCACCACTTGAAAGGATCGTAATAGAAATCTTTGACAAAAGCAACGACACCTTTTTTGCCCATTATATACTTTGTGAAATACTTGGTGGGTTCCCAAAATGTAACGTCGCAACGTTAATTTTTCCAAAAACACAGAAAATCAATATTCCTAGCAGCAACGAAAACTTTGACATGAAAAGGAAAACAGCGTGACATGTGAATGTGACATTGACAGTTAGTTAGTGTTGCAATATTTTAATTGAAATCTCCTCTTTTCCAGTGTTAGCTTAAGAAAAATAAAAGATAAATATCTCTGTAAAAAGCATGTAAATAAAACACAATTTATGTAGAAATTGAGTATATTATTTATTAGAACCAACAGTTCTCAAAATCCAGTTAGTGTAATGAGAGACTTTCGTATAAACTCCGGGGTAGTATCGATGGCCACAGGAATATCCGAAAGATACAATGCCTACAACCAAGCCTTTGTATAAAAGAGGTCCACCAGAGTCCCCAAAACATCCATCTGGGCCTCCACCATCTACGCGACCAGCACACATCATGGAGTCTTGAATGACTGCACCGATAGTATTGTAGCGCATTGCACAAATTTTTTGGTCTATTGTGTAGAGAATCGTGTGCTGTAATTGGTCGGGTTGTGGGCCATCAGTCTGGAAGAAAATGCGATTCTTTTAAACATAAAATTTTGATGCGAGGGTATAAGAAGCGCTTGATTTGACGAGCGACATTTATTCAGTTAATAAAAGAATATTTAGCATCTTCTATCGCAAAAGCATTCAAGCTGCCTGTGACTGCGTCTTTGTAGACTAAATCTACGTTGCTTTTTCAGCACTAGGAACTTATTATTCGAAGTATATCATCTCCAAATGTAGTTTTCTCGTTGATGCTAACAAAAAGCAGAGGCTCTAATTTGCTAAGCTAAGTTAACCTGCGGGACACACCTGACGCTGTGGTTTTCCAGGAGTTTCAAGGCTGTGATCTGACGTCTAGTAAAAATAATAATTTATTAAATTTATATTAAAGTTATTGTCCCTAGACATTCTAATACGGTGTTTTGCTCTTACGTCTAACAAGAAGCCAAATTTCTGTCTACTTATTAAGACTTCTTTATTCTTCAGTATCAGTATTACCTTCCTAGCATAATGTTCTCATACCTACTCTATTAGGCTAATCTTCATCGGTTCAGTTGTTGTTGATCAGGACATAACAGGATCCTAACTAAAACTGCTATAGGTACTTGGTCGTTAAAATATTTGTTGAAAATAACGACTTATTCACATGAATTAACTGAGAAAAGCTCTATTGAGTAGTTTGAACTCATAACGGGATTCTTATTTAAGAGCGCGTGCGCATCGCCGGGATTACCTTTTTTGGTTATGTAATTCACGCGAGCAAGTCTTTATTTTAAATTAATGTAGTATGCCCCACGATGGTTACTATAGAAAATAGTTAAAATACTTATTGCAAAATACCATACCTCCAGAACTCCCCATCCAACGAGGGTGCAAAGGGAATCAGGTTTGATCTCAACTCCTTGCTTTATAACAGTGCCCTGTCTCACATTACTGTTAAAAGAAAATTGTTTAGCTACCACCACGATGGCTATGTCGTTCGTGTAAAAGAATTTGTCAAAATCTTTGTGTGGAATTATTGTTTTTATATTATGTAGCACTCCTCCGCCGGTGCGGTATGTGGAGCCAACTCGAATTTTCCAATACTTCGGCATGGTGTAACTGAAACAGATGAGGCACAATACACAATTAAATACCAATCAATCATTCGCGACAGTTTACTGTTAGACAAACGGGTATCTTCTAATTGAGAGGATTTGCCATAATTTACGTTACATAGACAATCGCAGATAATTTGATAGGATTCAGTTTATTACATAGTTCTACTGTTCTTGCCCTTTTTTTCAATCTTTTTATAAAAACAGAACGTTGCCCTACACTAGGATTTTCTCCTGTGTTGTAGGTGCGGGTACCTACAAACATAAAATTTCACATATACATTACACTTAGCCTAGACCTGGAACAACTATTTGTGGTTCACACAAATTAACCCCCATTTGTAGCCAAATGTAACCACTATTAATTTGTGGTTCACACAAATAGTGGTTACGTGCGGGAATCAAACCCGTGAGAGATTGTGCGGGAATCAAATCTGTGAGAGATTGCTAGGCAGTTCAGGTTATCGAGCCATGATGCAAATCGTCGTTGACTAGGTATCTCTGGCAAAAGTGTAGGTTTGTTCTATGATCAGATCAGCCCTTACGACGAAGCTGTTGTAGGTAATCTGTTATCACCTTTAAAGCATTAGGTAGGTAACTAGTTCAAAAACTTATAGCAAAAATCAAACCCTTACTTCCTCCCAGTATTAGCATTGTATTGGAAACAGTGTGCAGCAGACAACACATGCCGTGACGTCAGTATGGTACCAGCACAATGTTGCACATATTCCTGAGTGCCCCACGCGTCCAGTAACAATTGGGCCATGATCGGATAGTGAGCTATACTCGTCGGAACACCTTGGATCACTCTTGTCAATATGTTGTAGTGGTAAAATTGGCCGTTTGCTGAAAGAAAAATATCACTTTAATATTTTGTCATGCCAAGATGCAGGTTTCCTAGGATCGAGTAAAGTGTTATCCAGGTAATGGGGGGGGGGGGATAGTTTAAGTTGTTTTGAGTTTGATATCATTCATTGTACATCGCAAAAAGCTTATCCTTCTTGCTGTAAAAGAGTAGGTACCTAACTATTTGTAAAATAGTTCTTACCATCTAGGGGACTTCAATGACTCATTTACCTTAATTGATTATGGTAGCTACGATAGTCGAACCCATCCATGGATCGTAATACACTACACGTTTCTCACATAATCGAACCACTTTAATAATATAAAAAAGAATCTGTATGTGAAACTCGTTGCCGGGGTTGCGGGGTAAGCGCAATGCAATGAGGCACCGCGATCTCGGCCCAGAGCAGAAGGAACGGGGTAGTTTTTAGTCAGCAAGAGTCTGACACTCCCTCCCGCCCGACCCTGGGCGGCAGAAAACATTCGATGACTTTCACCTCACAAAAAAGTGAAACTCGTTGTAAAAGAGTACTTAACCATGGCGTTTCTTGCTCGTCCCTCTCCATTAGAATCTACATTTTGGAACGAGAAAATAGCTTCACAAAAGGACTGACAGACAGACGGACACATTTTATCTATAAGCTTTGTTTGAGGTTCAAAAGTGCCTGCAAATGTCTATTTAGTTGAGATCATTAGCTTTTGACTTTTTGTATAGGTAGGTAGGTAGTGAAAAACAATTTGCCTTTCCTAACGCTTCTACAAAATGAGAATAGTCCCAAGAACTACGATTACCTATTACTTAGATAGTTAGCTAGTCTTAGTGTGCCCTGTTAGTGTTGCGGGCGGTTGCCCGGAGCTTAAGGCATCCAGTTCTCATGCATGCATGAGGGTGCGAGTTAAGAAACCTGGCAACTATCTATGTGACTTTTTCTGTGTATAATAGTGCCTAACACCACAGTAAAAACCGAAATAATCGCAATAACATTAAAAAGGTATTGCTTGATTCAGAAATTGAACCTGAGATTTCGCACTTAGTAAACTACGTGGCTACGACTACGAGACAACCTGATAATATGTTTATAAAAGATAAAAATCGGAAAACTAACCACTATTAAAATTTATGTTTTATAACTAATTATGTTTGAATTTTCTTTTCTTATTAGATTAAATCGCAATACAAAACATTAACAGCGTTGTGTTTCGCCGTGTGAATGATGTAACCGGAGGCCCAATCCTCCCCTTTCCCCATCCCTTCCTGATCCTTTTATCCGCAACCCCTATCCCCAAAAGGCCGGCAACGCTCTCGTAACTCATTTGGTGTTGCGGTAGGCGCCGATTGCTTACCATCAGGTAATCCGTCTGCTCGTTTGCCGACTTATACCATAACAAAAAACACACAAATAATCTTGAATGTTTAATTAGTTCCTGTTGTAACTTGTGGATCCTCAGGAAGAAATTGCTTTGGGAATATGCAGTACTTTTGTGCCTTTTTTGTATGTATAGATACCTACTACAGGTAGGTACTCTAAATGTATTATTCGTCATCAGCCCATAAGTGTCCACTGCTGAGCAAAGGCCTTTTCTCACACGGAGAAGGTTTGAGCATTAATCACCACGCTTGCTCAATGCGGGTTGGCAATTTCAAACTTATAATTAGAAATTATAAGTCCAGGTTTCCTCACGATGTTTACCTTCACCGTATGTCAGTGATGTCTAAATAATCATAGAAAGTACATATAACTCGGCAAAATCACATTGGTACTTGCCAGAACCCACACCCTCATGCATGAAAGGCGGGCTCCTTAAACTTCGGGCCACCACCCACGACATTACTAAATGTATTAAATGTGCATAAATTATTAAATAACTAAATAAAATAAATTAACGTACCTCGTATAAAACACAAGCAAACAAATATCAAACGTTGAAGATCCATTTTGGGTAATATTCACACTGTCACTTTATAAATACACTTTACGAGAAGAACTCTTTGATACTGATCCGGTGGTCGCGGGAAGTGATATGATGCTCCCCTGAGCCATGAATTATGGCGAGCTTAGTATGTACTACGCTCACATAACTTGATACTATTCCCTAAATTTTAACTATTTCGGTATTTAACAGTGTTGCTATTATTTTTTTAAGTTTGCCCCTTTATAAAAACGGTAAAACTGCAATCTCTAAACTAACCAATAAGCGTGGAGATTAGGAAATCCTCTAACGTAAGTGAGAGACTATTGAATGTTGATGTAGTTGAGTCAAGTTTAAGGTTTCGGGTCGGACAAGGTAGGTTATAATAATTGAGGTTCTCAGTTGAATTTACCAATGCTTTTCTCCTACTAAGACGAGCACAATGCTGTTAGTAGACTTTTCTAGACTGCGATTCTAGATTCTGAAGATTACGGAAAACTTACAGCGGAATTATAATACGTTTATTATCAAGTATCAAGATCGAGTCGCTGTATACGAGAAATGCAAATAGTGTCTCTAGGTATGTGTTTATGATCATCAATCATCGAGAGAGTCCGTAGAAACTACACAAGAAAACATATCATATAGGTACCTACCTACTTACCTATTTAAATAGATTATTACACGAACAGCTCAGTGTAAG